TAGGTTCTTACTAATATTCCAGAAACCTCTGGTGAACTAGCACAGATTGCCTTCAGCCGTTTTCCGAAACTCAGCAGGATATACTTTATTGCGGATACCTATTTAGATGTGACTATTAAAAAAATTGAAAGAGAGAAGAGGATTTGGAGAAACGTTCTTAATGAGATGTCCAAAATCAAGATCCCACGGGATTGGAAAAAAATCCTAGCTAATGGTAAAAATAAGGAACAATGGGTTAACATGCTAAATAATGAATGGTCTCAGCACAAATATTCATAAATTCAAACAAGCTTCAATACACGTTACTAGGGTAATGTAAGGTTGTTTTTGGTGATATTTTGAAATTCACCCCCCCACCCACAAACAGGGTTGAATTTTTTTTAAATGGCAACCCATATCAATTGGCACATTATTTTAAAGAGATTTAAAAAAATAAAATTATTGCCGCAAATCCGATTTTGATACGAGGAAAACGAAGTTTTAGACGTTAATTTTACTGGAACCTTACATTCCAGTAAAATTTACGTCTAAAATGTCTCAAATAAAATTTATCTAATTTAATTAGAATCTCTTAAAATCGCTTTCCTAGAGGTACTCTTTAAATCTAATGTTATTTAAATAGATTTAATTATTGAAAATCAATTCAGGCCAATTTGAAATCCGCATTGCCTGCAGGTTTGCTGCAGCGGGGGTATTTTATTAACTTTTTTTAATTTCATTTGAAGCCTTTGAATACATACTGAAGAAGTCCATAACAAAATATTTCATCAGTAATTAACGCAGGCTACCCTTATGTAATTTAAATAAAACAGTTTTTAAATTTAACAGTTTTTCTTTATTTTCCGGAATACGCTGTAATTTAAAAGAGGCAAACAACTGAATTCTTAATCTGGTAGGTAATACCAACAAAAAAAAGTATAAGTCATAAATTCCCACGGGGGGGGGGGAGGGTTTCATATTGGTGGCTCATGGTCTAACATAGTTTCGTTGCCATAACGCCTCGGACAAAGACTAAACGGACTTTCAAAGCTAAGGTGTGTTTTTCAAATGGTCATTCTAATAGTCTCCATGGTTTTCTTTACCGTCAAGGTTAATATCCATCTTTCGGGATGAGTTAATAAAAGGCTAACATGTCAACATGTGGTATTTTAGCCCACAAAAACTCAGAACGTAGGTGTGATTTTAGCAGGACATCACCACTAAAAGCATGGGTCAATGAATATTTCGCCTAACACTTTTCAGGTTGAATCATCTCTCAAGGTGTTCTGCATCTGCATCGGCCAGTTTGGCACTCCGTGGTTACTTTCTGCAGTGTTATCTCTATAGTCATTGGTCAACAAAGATCGTCCAAGGACCCTTAATGATTTGAAGAATAACATTTATCACGCTGTTACCAACATAACCAAGGATATGCCCCAGGGATTACAAAAACTTTAATAATTGAGTCAGTGCATCCAAAATGGTGGACCCTGTTTGCCTGGCATAATTTTCAAAAACAAAATTGCCAGTGATATTGTTTGTGTTGTAAGAGGGAAACAATATGTATTTGTACGAATTTGGTTGTTATTGAGAACCCAAGTAAGCATAAACCTCTGCCCAACCTCTAAAATTAGATAAAAAATTTTCCGCTAAAATTGACTTTTAAGCTTGAAGCCGGATTTACATGAGGCCATTACATAGGGCAGGTTGCAGGGCAGGTTACCTGCCTCCAATGTATTCAAGTTACCTGAGGCAAGTTACCTACATGCCATAAATGGGTTCATGTAAACACGGTTTAAAATGGTTTTATTAGTTTTGGATTTTTCAAATAGGTACATATTGCCTATAGAATTTTATAGTAGGGTATGCTTATGTAAATCAATTCTATATTATGTTATGACGTTAGGCGTATCCTCCAAGTAAGCCGTAATTAGTGGACACGGAAAACTCTGGAACAAGTGTTCCGTAAATGTTTAAAGAATGCCGTGTCACTCCAACCAGTGAATTATTAACCACTAGATGATCCAGAGGTGAATAACACACGCAAGACATTTGAGATCAATACAATTGAATTGTATCTTCAACTTAGGTACATTATTGTATCTCCACATCATGACAAGGACAAGACTAAGTACACACAATTGTTAACTTCAACTAATGTTCTTTATTAGAAGGGAATGTAGTTTATCTTATATATTTAAAAAAACTTTTTCAAAACTTATGACAGCTAGCCTTACCATACTACTGGACCGCATTACCGGGATGTACCAAAAGAAAGGTTATCAGTCCTATGTCCAGGTTTTATTTGTATTTTGAGAATATTTATTTTAAGTAGGTCAAAACTGTAAATTCAAATTTTCTTATGGAGACATGAGGCAAATTCTATATAGACAAGCATGTTTATTGAAAACCTTTTTTTTAACTCCCGTGCATTGCAGGAAAAATCTACGCATATTTTTAGAACGATATTTACCTGTAGATGTGCAGAATCAATTTTTAAATTAAAATAGGCTAAAAAATAAGCAAATTAACATGGGCCTTATGGGCTGACATGTTGATTGATAAAATAACTACAAAAAAATATAAACATAAAATCAAAACAAATGGAAGAAATTACAATCACATGTTTTATTTACAGCGCAAGGTGAAAATAGAAAAGTTTGCACAACACATACTGTTGGTCAAGTTTTCGGCCACGGGGCGAGCTCTAGTAATTATTAAAAGTTGTATACTAATGAATGGTAAGATTACTCTGCATAATAACAGATTAGAATTACAACTAAGATTCTGTAAAAAACTGTTGGATTTGTAATATTTTTGCTGCAATTAAATGTATCAGAAAGGTACTTGGTTTTTGAAACACAAGACGTTTGGTAAGTCCAAAAAATAGTTCTGGTAATTGGTTTACAACAAAATGAACCTATTTAAAATATCAAATATCAGGTAAGTAAGCTAATGAAGAAAGAAAGCTAACATGATGATAGAATATTGCCATATAAAAACTACACTATTAAATCAGTTCTATCGACAAAAATATGTATAATAAAACAAGAGTTTATGTTTTAACTTTTCTTCATAACCATTTTCCAGTTCAATAAACTGAAATATACTAAATTATATGGTTTCTAAGCTCTACAATTTTTTTTTAGAAAGAAATTGCAAAGTTCTATGTTTTGAGGATCAAAAGTGGGAAAACCCCATTTTTATCCCATTAACCCCATAAAACCCTGTTTCCATAGTCCGATCATGCTGGTTCAGGAACTTCTACAAATAAACGTGGGTTTACATGTCTACCAAATTCAATCAATATCGGATGACTTTTCTTGTTTTATCGTGCTCACGGACTTATATAAATATACAGGATGGAAAAAGAGTCCTGGGCTAGCTACAAAACTTTGTACAAAGTTACTGGGCATTAAAATCATTTTAACACATTATTCAGTTGAGTTAAACTACCTCTTCAGAGGGATGGCCCGCTAGTCAAAAGAAAATCTTAAATGTAAGTGGGCTACTACATATATGTATATGAATTCAAAAGGAAGATTTTTTGGCCTCTGGGGACCTCAAAAACCCAGGGCTAGGTCATACCATGAAACACATTGTTGCCTTATTATTCCCTATATGGGAAATTCTGAATAGCTAATCGTTGAAAGAGTGTAAATTGTAAGCCAATACAGTATCGTGTAATCAGATTCAATTAAAGTTTAGTTTAAAGATTAATTTAATTAAACTATAAGCATAAAAAACTCAGTTGGTCCTCAATACAATAAATTCCTAATTACCTCATGTAGGTTGTATTAAAAAATCAGTTTAAATTTAAGAATATGACATTTTTCATAGTTTAAGGGTGATAATGCTCCAGTTAAAGACATGAATAAACCCCCAAGGGTGTAAAGTGTATTCTTTGATGCTTTCTTTGATCAATGACTCCATCAAACTTTTAGTGCGGTGATAAGAATGCAACCTATTTTTCTTCTTTTCACTTCATGCAGTAGTGACAGCATTGTAGCTATTGATCACAAGTTATAATGTTCTCTTGAATTACCCACCATCGAATTTTTCTAAACGTAGGCCTACATATATGCCTATGTGTTGTATGTTCTGGTGTACACTATACATTTTATTTATTCAATTCAAATAGGTGGACTTAAATCATGGATAACTCACAAATCTAACATGTACAGGGTATTTTTTAAACACAAAATTACAATTTCTGTAAGCAGTGTCATATCCGAGGGGAGGGGGTTTGGGTTTAAACCTACCCCTTTGACCTTATAAATGTGATAAAAAAACAACTTTGTAAGATGTCTCTAAATAGCCTGAAAACACCAGTTTACAGGTCTAATTTTCACAAATTTTAGTACCCCCCTCCTTCCCTGGGAGGTATTCCATCCCCCCCCCCCAGTGTAACCCCCCTCTAAGGGTCATCCTAGTTGCATATGACACATGTAAGGCACTATTAACACAAAGCTTATATGTTGGTAACCTGTTTTCTCAACTTCATTATCAGGATTCATGCTCAAAGCAGCTGGCAAAGAACAAACAACAGTTGAGGCTAAACGGAAAAGAGTTTACTAATTAAAACTACAAAATAATTTATATAATAATAATAAAACAATTATTGATCAGTTAGAAAGAGTATAAATGATTCCTTAAGATTGATATTGAAATGTTCAATAACATTTGTTTTAGCATGTTTCTGTCCAATTTCAATCTTTTCCAAAATGTATATAAAAACTTGGAATGGTCCCCTTAATTGAATAAATAAACCAATTACTTCAATATTATGTAAGTTGTATTTTTTCTTTAATTAAAATACAGTACGGTACATTCAAGGTTTACTTAAATGTGAGGTACCCTATTTATATTTTACATTTTACATATGGTACTGTTATTAAATAATAAATTTGTATTTTATTCAAAGTGTAATTCAAATTTTCCGTGAACTGTGATTAAGTGAGAGGATAGATCAATGGGGGTGGGAGGGATGATTTTAAGAGGGTGTGGGTGTGTGGGGGGTCGCGATGGAGTGAGGTTTCTACAGACAGTCAACATGAACGTAGGCTCAGCGACTCTGCTGGTCCTGGGACTACTATCAGCGGTGTCTCTAGGTAGATATAAACATAAGTTGTCTAACATAGCTTACTATTACCATAGAGTATGTGACTTGTTTTTCATTTCTGTCCAGTGTTTAACAAGTAAAAGTCGCAGTGTGGTTTTTGGAGATAAACAATTCATTTTTAATTCAATTGAAATCAGTAAAGTTGTTGGGCAACTATAAACATGAGTTATCAAACATAGCATTATATAGGTAATCACTATGTTTATTTGCCAAGTAATTTTGGGTTAACACTGCATTACATTGTTTAAGTTACAAAATATTCAAGTGCCATCAGTATTTTTTGTGTTATCCAAGTGTCCTACAACTTGCATTGTATTAATTGCCTTTTTTGGTCTTCATTTTTGAACTGAAGGTTTGTATTCCCCGTATGTGAATTTCGTAAGCTTGTTGGTTATATTCAGGGTGGTCTTCTATCTTCATATCACGTAGTTTTAGTTACATAAAGAAAGAGACATAGAGACATTATACGTGTTACCTAACATAGTTCGAAATTTAAAATGACTCATCAATCAAGAAAACCTGTTAAGTAGGATCGCTGAAAAAGGGATGTAACAGAGGAAACTATGATATTACGTATATAAAAGATGTGCATAATAACACATAACATTTAGTACTAAAGTTTATTGCTTCGTATCCGACCTCCGCGCCGCTGTGCGTTAACACCAGCATCCAGTTAGCACCCAAATTTTAAAACGTTTTTATTAGCTCGCTTTCTTATCCGGTACAAATTTTGAAATCAATTTTATACTAACTTCCCGACGAGCTAGAGACTTGAAACTTGAAACATAGCTCACAAATGGAAGACAATGCAATATTATATCATTTAATTTTCATATTTCCCTTGGGCTACGCCCCATGGGCTTGTTTTTATTAAATCGCTTTCTTGCAAATTTGGATACTTCCCGATGAGCTAGAGACTTGAAATTTGAAACATAGCTCATAAATGGATGACAATTCAATATTATATAATTTAATTTTCATATTTCCCTTGGACTACGCCCCAAGGGCTTGTTTTTATTAGCTCGCTTTCCTACAAATTTTGATATAAATTTTAAACGAAGTTTCCGATGAGCTACAGGCTTGAAACTTGAAACATAGCTCAAAAATGGATGGCAATACAATATTATATAATTTAATTTTAATTTATCATATTTCCCTTGGGCTACGCCCCTTTGGCTTCCAAATTTTCCATGTTTACATTTTAAAAGAATGTGTAAACATATAAATTAATTTAAGTCCGCTGTAAATACTTAAATTTTAAGTTAGAAGAGGTGCAGGTTCTGCTCCCGAGATATTCTAAAAATATAAAACAATATTTCAAAGTAAAGATAAAACATCTGATTACAGATAATAAGGTGTTGGGTTTTGGTTATGCATTAAGAGGCTATATAAAATAGATTTAACATATTTACACATTAAAGACTAAATACCCCCGCCGCAGCAAACCTGCAGACTAAGCGAATTTCCATTTGACTGATTGGATTTACACTGAAATAGTGAAATGTCTACTTAAAAATATAACATTTCCCGATTTAAATAGAATTAGTTTAGCAAGTACTTAGGTTTGCTGCATCAGGGAGGGTAAAACTGTTTTTTTTTTTTTTTTTGTAAAATGTTAGTAGTTAGTAGGAAATAAAAACATTTTCCAAATTTGATCAAAATATGTTCATAAACAAGCAAACTACAACAGTTTACTTATTCTCCATAAGAATAACATGGGAATTTTAAATTTACAATTTTTTTTAATTTTCTCCGTAACCATTAGGCGCATAATAACGCTTCAATATACTAAATTATTTGTTTTTTTAAGCTCTACAAAATGGTTTGGAAAGAAATTGCTAAATTTTATGTTTTTGGGGTCAAAAATGGGAAAAACCTATTTTTACCCCATAAAACCCCCCGTAAACCCCCGTTCCCATGGTCCGATCATGCTGGATCGCGAACTCGTTCGAATAAACGTAGGTTTACACGTTTGTACCAAATTTCATCAAAATCGGATCATTTTTGCTCGAGTTATCGTGCTAACGGACACACACATATTATATATATCAATATATAAATATATATATATATATGAATTTAAACGGATGGTGTTTTTGGCCTCTAGGGACCTCAAAACGAAAAAAAAATCGGTCCCGCGTCCAGGTCTTACCATGAGTACTACGGTAATAGCTTATTCCCTATATGGGAAATTCGCTAAAACTAGATAATAATTTATAAATAAAAATACTTTTTAAAAATAACACGTTTTTATACGCACTAAAAAGTATAAAATAATTTATAAAATGTTGAGAGAATAAATACTTGTAGGATTTAAAACGAAAAACGTGGGGCGCATGCAATAGATCATAATAGTTCAATAGGTGAAGTTAATTGTAAATCAGCATGCGCCCCACGTTTTTAGTTTGAAATCTTACAAGTATTAATTCTCTCAACATTTTATAAATTATTTTATACTTTTTAGTGCGTTTAAAAACGTGTTATTTTTAAAAAGTATTTTTATTTATAAATTATTTTTTTTACTTTTAGTCAAGCAAACGAATAACAATGAGATTTTTGTAGACTTTCAACTATTTACGTAAAGGTTGTAACTATCGAGAATCTAATAATAGCACATGCATTTTATCACAAGAAATCAAGCAGTAGTAGCCTATATTAGCTATTTATAATACAAAATCGGTTTCACAGAAAGTGGGTCTTATTGAAACGTTTCATGTAAGGGTTTTCGTTGTCTGATTATTTTTCATTCTTATATCTGTGTCTATATATTTCTAAAAATCGGCAAACTGAATAAAACCTCCTTAAAATGTATTTTGTATTTTTAAACTTTCTGAAATGTTTGTTAAAAAACTTACAGAAGAATAATATATTTTCTAAATACCAAAAGTTGTGTTGTACGTTTAAAATTATCACTTTTAAAACTCTCAAAAATAAACATACTGTAAATGCTATACTATATACTTCAAGTAAATATGTGAATCCACCTAAAGCTGTAAAATGTGTATTAAAAGTTTATCAATATATTATATATGCTCATAAATAACAAACTAACGCAAAGAACCCATAAAAATTATAACCGATGAAAGTTTATGTATCTTTTCATTTCAGTCGACCCCAATAATACAAGTTTTTTTAACAACAATGTCAACCATAATAAAATTTAAAAAACAAGCTTAAACGGCCTACATCACTGTACACTTAAATTCCCTATACCATGAGAAATATTATATTTACAAAACTTAAAATAGGTACCACACTTTGTTACAAGATCCATTTCATAAATTGCATTATAATATTTACATTTCATATTTAGTATGGAATAGATTTTCATAACTATTTTTGTTTGAAACCATCCCACAATTTAATGGTCCTAAGTAATTTGCGATAGAGCTTAAATACGGGAGTTTTCGTGGAAAATTCAAAACAGCTGACAACGCAAAACATGACAAAAGACGACGAGTTGTCGCCGTCCTTTGTTTTTCGTAAATCAACCCTTCCCTTGAGGCAAACTGCACTTTCAAACATCGGGAAGTATGAAACATGGATGCAGTTTTGAAAAACATGTCGCTCCGTTTTTGGTAGATCCATGGCCACACTAAAAAACCTTTTTTAGTTTTTTAGTGTGGCCTTGGTAAATCACAGCTGATTTTTATACTCCCTAAAGACTAAAAATGGATTTTACTAGAGAGTAAAAATGCTACTTTAGACCCGCAACGCCTGCATTAAAAACGGCAGTTTTTGCTGCAGTATGACGAAAATAACTTCAGTATCCAATAGTCGATGGTTGGAGGCAGCTCAAAAATGTAAAATACCCCCACCGCAGCAAACCTGCTGACTATGTGAATTTCCAGTTGCCTGAATTGATGTTCAATTAAATGTATTTAATTAACATTAGGTTTGATGAGTACATAGGCTTGCTGTTACAGGGGGGGTAAAAAAGTGTGCTTTTTAGTAAAATATTAATAACATAGATTAAATAACTTAATAACATAGATTAAATAACTTAATAACATAGATTAAATAACTTAATAACATAGATTAAAGGAGTAGTGTCTATGCTCCTTTTTAATTTCCTTTTAATTTTGGGAGCAGCTCCCTTATTAAACTTTTTAGCCCTTTATTGAATTTCCCATATAAGAAATGAGCTACCGTAGGTCTCATGGCCATAACTGGACTCGGGACCGATTTACTTTTTCGTTTTGAGGTGTCCAGATGCCAAAACACCCCCGTTTCAAATTTATTTATACAGTAGCCTATATTACTTTTCATCCTTTGGTGAAATTAAAAAAAAACATTTTTACATGTGAGTACTGTAGTATTTTGCAACGGTGAATGTATTCATTTTACACCCTTACACAACACTCTGCCACAGGGGACGGTATCAGATGCTACGTGTGTAACTCCAAGCAGGACGCTCGGTGTTTGGACCCCTTCGTCGGCAACTCTACCTCCTCCGCGCCCATGGACACGGTAGACTGCGAGTACGACAACACGGTGAGGGCAGCGCTGGAGACGGTGGCCAACCTGATGACGAAGCTGGGGCAGGCTCCAGCCAGGGACCCGACCGACGTGCTGGCTCAGGCACCCTCCGTGGAGGCACCGCAGGATGGGCCGATACCCGCGTCCTGTCAGAAGATAGACCTCATTGGTGAGCAACCTTCCAGCATGAAATAAGACGCAAGAATTGGTTAAGGAGACTGAAAAGGAAAGTCCCAGAACAGCCCTAGTAGGTTTAGGAGACAGGTTCCATCATACAGACTGTGATCGAGATTGTGAATTTACAGTGTCTGATGAGCCTCCTGGGGCTGTTCTAGGTTCCATCATACAGTCTATAGATCTTCAAGGTTGGATAGAGGGATAGAGATAGGTGGTAGAATTGACTTTTGAATACAAGCACGCCGAATATTTTAGTATTCGCCTTCAGCCACTTGAATCGTTACGTACCTTCTCAGACAATTACAGCAGGCGTTCTTACACTGAATGTTATACGTACACCCTGATAATCAATGGTACGAGTTCTCGTATGTTAGTATAACCTTAGATTATGTTATAAGTTGAAATAAGGCGAGAAATCCAATGTTGGTACCAAGATAATTGGGTGTCAAAGAGTTGACCCAGAGTTTATAGTGTCTTGAAGTAAGTCATTTGTATAGGTTTGGTTCCACAAACATTTGAAAATTTAGACAAATATCTGTTGTGTGTTGAGGTTTTTTATTTTAGTGTATCTGACTTAGTGGTTGGTTGTGAATTCAGTTATGAAGCCCAGGTTTATGCCCCGTCAATGCCATGGCCCAGTGGTGCGAAGCTCCCTTAATCTATTTATCCACCAAGAAATCAAACAGATAGGTCTCTAACGCAAGAGCATTATTTGTAAAAACTCTCACAACTAAAACTCAAAATGATAATTAATATCTTGATTACTCAACTATTCTCAACTCTTACACTTCATGTCAGTTCTAGGAGAGCGAGTGACCGGGAGAGGATGTTCGGTCCATCAGCTGGAGAGTTTCAACCCTTGTGACGCCGTCAAGCTGGTCACCACAGCTGACGTCACTCTGGAGTTCTGCGGAGTTTGTGACTACGACGGGTGCAACGGCCGTCCTCTCCTAGCCTCAGGGGCGCTCCTCCCAGCAGCCGCGGTGGGACTGTACTGGAGTCTGGTCTGAGACGACCCCGCGGTCAAGGACGCTGCAATGATGCTTCTATGCATCTTTAACATTGCTAAAGGATGCCTCAAACAATGTTAAAGAGGCTGTGTTCTTCTGTATTATAGTTCTAAGATGTACGAATATCAAAGAAGCATCTTAAAAATTGGCATATGATGGCTGACATTTTCAAATTTAGAATATAGATTCAAAATCGTTAAGTATTTTTAATGAATGGGTTTTCGAAGTAAGTTTTTAATCTGTCGCCTTAAACATGTTATTAGATGTTCCTACCTAACTGTAAGCTATTGGTCTGTAAGACGTAATTCAGTAAATATAAAAAAATTGTTACAAAGAAGTTTTTATTCAAGCCCGCAAAAGCCTTTGACTTATGGAATCAACAAAAATACAGTGTATAACATGGTAAGTGAGAAATGGAAATGATAAATAGTACTCGCTTAGCAATCTGAATGTCGTCGGTTCGATTCTGGGAAAGTCAGTAGCTTTTTGATGGTTCGATACTGGACGTATTTGTCCTTGACCTTTTTAATAATTGGCTCTGACTAAAATAGCAGACTATTATTGTTCAGTAAAAAAGCTAGGCCTACATAAAGCATTTCAATCAGATTCTATTCTCATTTAGTTTTTAAATACGTCTCAATTGCGTCCTCATTTCATAATAGTTATTTGGGTACACTGTGCATTACATCTCCTGTAAAAATGCCACTGTCGTCGGCATCAAGAAATAATAAGATGATATGGAAAGTGATATAACTTCGAAAAGGCGTGTGGGTTTTTATATAACTTGCGAAACGTCCAAGTGGGAAGTGTATGTTTATCAATAGCTTATCAATGCAATTAATTAACTAGCCTAACTTAATAATAGGGATGCAATTGACAGTTTTTACCATCAGAGAAAAAAATATTTGGATCCACTACGCGACATTATGAAGTTATTGAGAGTCGGGATGAAAATATCTAATGAAATAAACAATAAGGTAATATTATTTCCTTTTTTATTTCTATAAGTTTTGGCTTTGTTTTTTTCATATTACTTTAGGCACTATTAATCAGTAAAAAAAAAAAAAAAAAAAAAAAAACACGCTTTGGTGCGATGATGTATCACCATAAAAAAACTAGACATGAAATGCGAAGTCACAATTTATAATACAATTCTTCCTGTTACTTGGTATGATGGGATTTAGTATTTCATTTGTACTTTATCTGCCTGTTTCAAATGTCAATTGCAATCCATTGAACTGTAATCTATCTTGTCTCCGATGCAGGTTTGAAATAGAAGACAATCACTGTGCAATGGACCTGTCTTCCACACTGACAGTACGGCCGATATTTACGTAACAAACCAGAATAAAGACATAGCCCCCTCCTGTAGATCCCCCCCCTCTATAGAGCCCCCTTCCTGTAGACCCTCCCCCTCTATAGAGCCCCCTTCTTTATTATATTAACAACCTACAGAGCTAGAGTCCAGATGGCGGAAAGCAAAACTTCATGCTAATTTGGTCGTTATTCTTTTAGATGTTTTACCCGTGTTTCGCAACGGGATAAGGATACAAAAGTGGTCAAAAATGTGGTTTTTAAAAATTTACTTTGAAATAATCTGCAAACTCAAAAAACATTGACTACAGAGGCAACCCTAAACCCTAGCACTTCTTCTATTTGTTTTAAATAGAACAATAACATTAACATTCTTTAGACGATTAATTATGATAAACATCTAAAGGGAATGACTGTTCAATCCATGGTATAGCCTAGTTAAGTATACAGGGTGGCTGAAAAGTAACTTGCACCCCCACTTAACTTTTCAACCATTTGAGATATTTGAAATCGGTTTGCGGCAACCTTCTTAGATATGAGGGGCTACAATAATTATGGCCAATTTTGAAAATTTTGCCCTTATGGGTGGCGGGGGTAGGGGGTAGCTCAAAAATTTCAAATGACAAGTATAGTTGAGTTTGGTATCATTTTACAGGTCTTGACGAAACATAAACATTGACATAAAGAAAACCAAAATCAGCTCACTAATAACAAAATGGCGCCCTAAAACGTTTCAAATCCAAATAACCTTGAGGGTGGCAAACATATTAACTTGCACCCTCTTTAACTTTTTAACTATTTCAGATATTTGAAATCGGTTTACGGCAACTTGTTTGGAAATGAAGTGCTACAACAATTATGGTCAGTTTTGAAAATTTTGCCCTGAGGGGTAGCGTGGGTAGGGGGCAGCTCAAAATTTTCAAATAGCAAGTATAGTCGAGTTTGGTATCATTTTACAGGTCTTGACGAAACATAACAAATAACATAAAGAAAATAGAAATCAGACCATTAATAACAAAATGTCAGCTAAAAATGATTGAGGCAATGGTTATTTAAATTAATTTTGAACTGCCATTTTGTTATTAATTGTCCGATTTCTATTTTCTTTATGTCAATGTTTATGTTTCGTCAAGACCTGTAAAATGATACCAAACTCAACTATACTTGTCATTTGAAAATTTTAAGCTACCCCCTACCCCCGCCACCCCTAAGGGCAAAATTTTCAGAATTGACCATAATTATTATAGCCCCTCATATCTATGAAGGTTGCCGCAAACCGATTTCAAATATTCCAAATGGTTTAAAAGTTAAGGGGGGGGGTGCAAGTTACTTTTCAGCCACCCTGTATATTGAGACCCACCTGTTGGTCAATTGTGTTCCACATAGAAACGTACTTTTTGTAGTTCATTTCACTATATTATTGGACCATCTATAAAGAACTAGAAATTTTGTGAAAACCGTAAGCTAGATAGACCCCTCTATTAATTAAAAATTTGAATGAAAGATTTTGATGAGAAATTCCTAGCAAAATATTAGTTTTTGGTACACCTCCTAAATAAAAGCTGCGGTCGGGGTATTTTTGTTTTCTACTCCAGTGCCATATTTTGAAGTTTTTTTTAAGGGGATGGTAGTCTAATTATTTAGTGTTTTTAATACTATATTTTTAAAGGTCAATTTACACACTGTTTGAGCTGGTTGCACAGGAAGTGTGTGTTAAAATTCCCAAGTATCTTGGTTGCTAAGCAACTCTCCCTCTTTGTGAAACTCTCATCAAGAGCACTCACTTCATTGGCGCTCTCACTACCCTTTACAGGAAACATCTTCTTCATTAGCCTTTTGGGAATCTTATGTATTTACCTATCCAACCTTTTTGTTAAAGAAAACGTAGAAAATATGTAGTTTCTATAATCTTGCAAGAATTAGACTGGGTCGTTAAGTAACTATAAGAACAACAATAACAGACAAAAATAGTACAAAATACGATATTATGGAATAGTAATAATATTTATAGTATTGTCTTATCAAAAACGCTTTGATTATTATTTATGTATTACAATTCAAAAGCAAATGAAAAATGTGTATTAAAAACAAAAATGGCATAAAGTTGCAGTCTTCAAATCGTGGATAGGTCCCCGCATGAACGAAGCCTGTAAATGGGAAACGAGTTAACGCCAGCCATCAACGTAGCCCTATCACCTAACTAAACCATTACCTAATTTTAACAATTTTTATACATTATTAAACTAATTCATAAATTATTAATAGAAATAAAACTTCACCAGGACAGCACTTATAATGAAATTAAAATCTAAAAAAGATGAAAATACCCCACCGCAGCAAACCTGCCGACTAAGCGAATTTCCATTTGTCTTAATTGATTTTCAATTAAATATATTTAAATAACATTAGGTTTAACGAGTACCTCGGTTTGCTGCTACAACGAAACTAATAAAGTGTGTTTTTTAGTAAAATGTTGATAGCTTAGTATAAAATAAATAAATTTGCCAAGTTTGATCAAAACATATCCATTTATAATTTTTTAAATGGTTAAATAGTGTTTGCAATCTGAGTGACGTCAGCATATGACGGGAATAGCACACCTATGTATTTTCCTATAATATTTATCAAAAACGTTTTCCAATTATTCTAATTCATTCACAAGAAATAATTAAAACCAGCTGACAATCCAATTATTTATCTGAATGCACATTCTGGTAAACAAACGTATTACACCATGTTAGGAATTTCAAACATTGCAGTTCTTGGCAAGATAACTTTTGAACCTAGCTTCGCTTTGATAATGTAAGAAACCGAAGTTTCACAGCGATGTTCATCATGAACGGTGACAAAACACTTCTATTGACTCTGGCGCTGATTTCTGTCTTCACTCTAGGTTAGTCACTTGGTATTTTAGACGTACAATATCACTGTAGATATCATAGTTTGTGAAACTATCCATGTAATATTGTGCAGAATGGTTCTAAAAGTTTTCCATACATGTTTTGTTACTTTATTTATTTATAACTTAAACTTTACAGTACTGATCATAAAAGTCCACTATCAACTTAAGGATTGTGAGTGTATGGACAATAGGCTAACTTCATTATACTCTTACCTAAATGGGTGTTACCTATGGTTTAAAGTTTTCATTACCATAAAGTACTAACATCCATACTGAAAGAAATAATATTCCGGGTAGTATTACCGTATCATAGATGGGTATTATTGATAAATTTACTCTACGGTAGAACCGTGCGAAGCATATTTCGGTGGCAAACCTCCAAGCGACCTATTCTCCATAAGCGTTTCGTTTCTAATTTGTCGCTACCCGGGGACGTCCTGAGTAGAAGGGTTAACAGGTACCATCATACAGACTATGGTTTTTTTCGTGTCGCCATTGTCATTTTGACTACTTTAACTGAATAAATATGAAGAATATTACATCTTTATGGAGTGATTCTGACATGAATGGGTTGAAGCCGTGATCCAATTAAAATTAGGTAATTGAAGTTGATATTGCTGTTTTAAAACTCAAATTATCAAAACTCACAATGCTGGTGCAGTTATAACTAAATAATAAAACACTATTCATTGAATGTAATACATAGGTACATAAGTCATTCATAAAGTTATACTTGAAGTGATAGATGACAATAGATGACGATAGACGATAGATGACTTAAGTGATACAGTGATAGATGACTTTCATAATAGTACTTGAAGGCATGTTGCTTGCTTCGAATAACCTTTCATAGGGAACGTAATTTTATAAAGTTTTCATACTGTATATTAGGCCTACCTATGATATATTCGTTTTTTATACGACACATATTGGCAGCAATGAGTTTTTTTTTACTTTTGCAAGAATTGAAATTATAAGCTTATAAAACAATGTTATTAGATTATCCCCTGATGAAATAGCCTAATCTGCATAAAGACGGTTCTAATAAATCTACTTAATCCTCATGGAAATTAGATGAGTAATTTATATATTTTAACCAGCCTAAAAGTATCACGTTTTTTTTTTTTATTAAAAAAAAGCTTTTAGACAACCTGATATTAAACCTGATATCAGTTGGACCTTGTCGCTCGATGCGTACGGACGTCCTTATCAGTGCTTAGTACATAGGTCAGTAGTGTCGTGCGGGTCTGCCTCTAGTGGATAAATCCTGTTTAAAGTTGCCTTTTTTGGTCGTTTTAAGCAATTATTCTGTTAAACCGTTATTTATAACTATTGAATCGTTAAACTTCGATTTATTAATCGTCCTTATATTTTAAGGTATGGCAGATAAGTGCGGTAAGTGCCATCAAGACGTTATTAACGTCAGAGATAGTGTTAAGTGCGTGGACTGTGTGTCTAGTTATCACTCTAAATGTGCTACAAGGAATGCCTCTGACGGATTGAAGAAATTCACAAGATCTACGCCGTGGAAGTGTGAGAGTTGTGCTCCCGATAATTCGCCCAACTGCAGAAATGTGGGACAGGATAGAGATGTTGGACAAGCCACCGTTTTGGAAGCCATTGCAGCATTTAGGAAAGAAAACAGTGACACTTTTGCCGCCTTGCGAAGTGAGATAAACAGTAAGTGGGAACAAACTAACTTTAAAATCGATGAAGTTAAAAATAATATTGCAAATATTGTCCAAGATGTTGACGAGGCAAAAACTCAGGTCAGTAATATTAAAAGCGAAAACGAAGAAATGAAAGGTAGGATAGAAATTTTTGAAGAATCATATATCGATTTACTAAGAGAAGTGAAACTACTACGTAGAGAAATGAATGACATCCAGCAGCACTCACGTGTAGACAACATCATCATCACCGGTGTACCTGTTACTAAAGGAGAGGACATTAACGCGGTACTCGCGAGACTTTCTCACCTTCTGCGCATGTCTTACTATCCATATCAAATTTCAGCAGCCCATCGCCTCCCTGCAGGAGAAGGTCAACGTCATCCCCCTATCGTGGTAAAATTTGTTTCCCGAGTCTACAAGAACGACTGGATGATTGCAAGGAAATCTAAACGGGTGTTACATGCAAACGAGCTCAACGATAGGTTCCCAAATACTCCGATATACTTCAATGAACACTTAACTGTACATACGAGGGAAGTGTTCAACAAAGGTAGGGACCTCGTGAAGGATCAAAGACTCGCATCGGTCTGGGTAGCGGATGGACGTGTTCTAGTGAGGAAAACACCCAACGGAAGGATTGCTAGAGTGCGTGAATTAGGCGATCTGAACAGAATCTGTGGACCATATCGCTCCCCAGCCTCCTCAACAGGTGACAACATGGACTCCGACTCCGCCCCCGCCGCTGCCAGTACCTCTCCTGATGTGACTCCACAGCCTCCACTCCCACCCTCGCAGCCAACTGAGTAGCCAGCCAAACAAGACTATGAAATGCAGTAAATAACCATAATTATTCTTCATACGGTAATATAGTTTAACTTAAAATCAACATTTTTTCTATACAATCATAACATTCCAGACCCATTATGAGATCTCAATGTAAATATTAATACTTTTACCACAATATTACAGTTAAACTCAAAGCTATTGTTTATAACTTTACTCTAAAACCTCATAATCCTTAATTAAAAATAATAACTAATCGTAACACTAAAGCACTATCCATCTCAACTGTCAATAAACTAAATAATTCAAATAAAATATAATAATAATCCTAAAAAATAACAATATAAATAATACGTGTTAACCAACATTGCTCATTATCAACATTTGCATTGATGGTAAGCCCCATCTCTGCTTTTCTTATCTGATGATTGCGAGTGCATTATCTTTGTAATGATAACCATACACAAATTGTGAATGGTCACTAAATTCAGTTTTTTTGTTTGTATTTGTAGACTATTCTAAATAAACAATCACTACACGTCATTTCACAGTGACGTTTGCATTTTTGTACATTAATACTTGATAAATTATTCTATCTTTAAACTAACATACATTTTTATTTACATAGTTTCCCAGTAAAGTTAGTTTGTGAAGCATTTAATTTAATTAGTATATGTGACTGAATATGTGAATTTTTATTTAAGAGACAAGAGTGTGTAATCTACGCATCATTATCGTGATCAGTAATTTTCTTTAACTTCAAATAGTGTTATTTTATGTTCTTAATTACCTTACTCTCATGTTAATGCCTTTTGTTATGATATTATTAGAATGGTGTCTTACTCCACACCTGCAATTTTTACTCTTGCCAACCAAATTTATTCATATGTTATTTACAATCAAAATTATAGTTAATTAATTAAATTCATTTATACTACTTCCAAAAAACATTTTTTAGGTTTACTCTGATACAATAATATATGCAACTTGTCTGTTTATTAATACTTAAATCCATATTTTTTATGCCTAGCTAGATGGCAGACTAGCACTGGCTGTTGCCTACCACCTGATTATATATATATATATTTTCTCTTTATTGTTTTAAAGTACTTGCTCCTTAATTCATTATTACATTATATTTTTTATTTTTATTTTGAGGATATGGTAAACCTCAACAAAGATTTATTTGATGAAGCCTCAATTAATAATAACTTTAAGGTAATTGAAGACTTGAAAGATGTGAGAGGGTACTTCAGTACTGAAGTGGGACATTCTAAATTCAAAATCATTCACATTAACATCCGCAGCTATCGTAAAAACTTTGATGAGTTCTTAGTATTCGTCCAAGGGTTAGATATTAAATTTAATTGTCTTGTTCTATCTGAAGCATGGCTAGGTGATGATTGTGATCTTTGTAGCGTTGATGGATACAATTGTTATCGATCGTACAATAGTATAAACCAAAATGACGGAATTGTTATTTACTTAGATAGTAATATTACAGCATCCTGTAGTCAGTTGTCGGTCGGAGGAGTCGCCACCGCCTTATCAGTGACCTTCGACTGGGCCGGCAATCCATGTGACATATTAGCCGTATATCGGAGTCCGAGCTCTAGTCTTGAGCACTTCATCAATGGCGTTTCTGAGCATTATTACTTAAGCCGAGATTTCCGAGGCATTCGTGTTTTAGTTGGTGATACAAATTGCAACATTTTGGCACCTGGGCAAAATAGTCTAGAAGAGCGCTTCTTAGACGAAATGTATGGATATGGATTTATACCGTGCATCAACTCAATAACACGACCTGCTAGTAATACCTGCATTGACAATTTTTTCGTCAAAATTGCTAATCAAATCCTTACTAAATCAGCAATCCTTCAGTCAAGTTTAACTGATCATTACCCCATAGCACTACAAATATTTAAGCAGCGACACTACAATAATGATAAAATGGAAGCTTCTTTTTACAAAAAGACCAACTGGAAAATTGTCTATAACCTTTTAACAACTGAAAACTGGCAAGAAGTACTAGCAAGTGAAGACGTGAATTTTTGTGCCGAGATAATTACAACAAAAATTGGCAGGGTGATTGAAAACGCATCATCAAATATTAAAATTAACGCTAAAAATACAAAAATCAAACCTTGGATAACTAGTGGTCTTATTACTTCAATAAGAAAGCGGGATCTCCTTTTTAAACAATTAAAAAAAGAACCATTCAACCTGTATCTTCGAAATAAATTCACCCAATATCGCAATAGATTACATTCCCTAATCAAGCATATAAAGTTTAATTATTACAAAACCAAAATTGACGAATCCGTGGGTGACGCTCGTAAATTTTGGTCAGTTGTAAACGAGGTGGCTGGCCGACCAAGTGCCAAAGCGCCGTTTCCGGTTGAGGCGTTTGTTGTTAACTCTGACACTGCCACCCCCCCAGAAACAAAACACATTTGCAACACATTTAATAATTTTTTCTCTTCTGTGGGATCTGAGTTGGCAATGGGTATCACGGCTTCGGGACGACCGGAGGTGGATGACGCCGACCACGCGGTTGATTCTGTATTTGAGATGGTGCCTGTCAATGAGCCCCAGCTTTCCAATTTAATAAATAGTATCAAGGGAGGTTCAGCTCCAGGCTGGGACGACATTCCAGTCAGAATTATTAAAGAAAATGCAAGCCTTCATATTCCAATTCGGCACTTAATAAACACAAGTATACGCACGGGGAACTTTCCTGATATTTTCAAATTAGCTAAGGTTATCCCGATACACAAATCTGGGCAAAAATCTGTTATTAATAACTACAGACCCATTTCATTGTTACCTGTGATAAGTAAAATTCTAGAGAAATGGGTAAAAATTCAGCTCTTAGACTATCTGGAGAAAGAGAATATTATTACAGAAAATCAATACGGCTTCCGAAAAGGATTAAACACATCGGATGCACTCTTTGATCTCACAACATTTATTACCCAAGAAATCAGTAAAAAAAATAAAGTTATGATAACATTCCTGGATCTTGCTAAAGCGTTTGATTCTATCGATAGAAATTTATTACTCAGAAAGCTAAACTTACTAGGTGTCAAAGATACTTCCTTAGCTTGGTTTGAAAACTATTTTTACAGTCGAAAACAGTTTGTAGCAATACGTGGAGTCAACGGTGACAACACAGACATTAACTATGGAGTCGTCCAAGGAAGCACGCTTGGCCCTCTTTTATTTTTAATATACATTAACAATATCTCAAATCTGTCAATTAAAGGTAGGTGTTCCTATTTGCAGACGATACGGCTCTAGTCTCCTCCGGGCCAAATTGGGACGCCGTATATGACAGGGCGTCCTCCGACTTGGGCAAGCTCAAACTATGGTTTGACCACAACATACTATCCTTAAATGTGTCCAAGACCAAATGTCTGCCCATTTACTTTAGATGCGACAGTGGTCCGGGCCATAGAGTACTCAGGTTGCACGGCTGCGGGGGTCCATGGACAGCGCCGTGCCATTGTGAAATCATTGAGCAAGTCGAAAATTACAAATACCTTGGGGTCATAATTGACTACAAACTTAGCTGGGCTCCACATGTTGATTACGTCAACAATAGATTAAGAAAAATGATCTTCGCTTTTTCACAGCTTGGTTGTGTGCTGTCTGTGGACCATTGCAGGTGTGTATACTTTGCGTATGTCCAGTCACTGTTACAGTACGGGATACTTGCGTGGGGGGCTGCGTCTGCCTCTGTCTTGGCTCCTCTTGCTGTTACCCAGAAATCCATAATTAAACACATACTAAAAAAAGACCAAAGATACCCCACCTACCTACTTTTTCAAAATTTTCCAGTCCTTAACATCAGGAAACTATTCCTAAAAACAGTTATAACCTTTTCAAAAAATAATAAAAGCAAAATTTTCTCCGATTCGCTACATTCTTATGACACTAGATCTAGAACACACATAGGCATCTCCGTTCCCAAATTGAACAATAAAGCACAGCTTCTTACCCCTCACTATCTAGCCCACATTATACACACTAATCTCCCCATACAGATAAGAGAATGGGAGGGAGACAGTGTCACGGTTTTCAGCAGAAAGATCGGGCGCTGGCTTCTCGGTCTGAGCGATGATGCTGCCGAAGAGCTCATCAGATCCCAGTACAGGGCATAATGAAAGTCGATGACAATTCTAAAACTAAATTAGGCTAATAATACCAAACTACTTCAGTACTGGCACCCTCATTCAAGTACTTCAAATATTGTTCATGTTCAGTCTTTTTTTGCCAACAATATGGCAAAAAAAAATACTTCTTTTTATTTAAGTAATTATTTGTTTATTTTGTTATCTTGTCTGTGAAGTGGTGAGCGACGGAGAAGACTCTCCCCACACGCAGATGTACAGTCTTTGTGGGGATTTTTTTCCTTTGTACTTTGCTTTACAGCCACGATTGTAATTTTTGTCATTTGTAATTTTGGAAATAAATATATTCTTATTCTTATTCTTATTCTGATTTTTGCTAGGGAAAATTATTTTTTTTAGAAGAAAGAATTTTAAAAATTACGCATATCGGTAAAAATTAGTAGTCTTACAAACCTTTCAATTTTGATTTAGAACTTTTTGTTTACTATGTTATCAGAATGCTCCATTATTTATCACTTACTACCCAGAATTATGTACTTCTCTTATCATAACAAGTGATGAAACTTATTCTCGCTACAATCCTTTGTATACAATCTTTTAAACTCGACATCGCCATTCGGTTCTTACGGACTCTTCAGTCCCACATGTTTGAAAAAAAAAAACTGCTGAATAAGCCTAAACGTTTAAAATGTAGGAATTTATAACATAACTGAATATCGCAATTTCAGGAAATGTAATTTGACCAATTAGTAACGTGCACTCTTAATTGCAAACAGTCCAGAATTTGAACAGTACAGAATGCGAACAGTCCAGAATTCGAACAGTCCAGACTGCGAACAGTCCAGAATTCGAACAGTCCAGACTGAGAACAGTCCCGACTGCGAACAGTCCAGACTGCGAACAGCCAGACTGCGAACAGCCAAGAATGCGAACAGTCCAGAATGCGAACAGTCCAGAATGCGAACAGTCCAGAATGCGAACCGTCCAAAATGCGAACAGTCCAGAATGCGAACAGTTCAGACTGCGAACAGTCCAGAATTCAAACAGTCCAGAATGTAAACAGTTCAGACTGCGAACAGTCCAGAATGCAAACAGTCCAGAATTCAAACAGTCCAGAATGTAAACAGTCCAAAATGCGAATAGTCCAGAATGCAAACAGTCCAGAATGCGAACAGTTCAGAATGCGAACAGTCCAGAATGCAAACAGTCCATAATGCGAACAGTTCAGACTGCGAACAGTCCAGAATGCAAACAGTCCAGAATGCGAACATGCTTGGGTTTATCGGGTGGGGGGGACGGTCGTCTGTAGGTTGGGGAGGATTCTCGATTGCGAACACGTTTCGAGCGGTCTGGGCTTTCAACATATTCGTAGAAACCCAGACTGTTAACAGAATAATTTGACCATAATCACAAGCAAGAATGGTAATATACATACTGGAACAGGACGGATTTTTCTGTGTTCTTGAAGACACTTCTGCTTGAGACGTAGTACGTAAAGACGCGTGTATAGTAACAGGCAGATTCTTTCAGACTCACAAATCCGCTCTGATAATAAAGTGGCTGGTTTTAAATACGTTCTGATAGTAATGATCAAATAATATTTAAATAAAAGCTACAAAACATTAATTCATATGAATACAGCAGTTTAACATAATTAGCCTAAGTACCATGCGTACATTATAAACAAAAATATCAGCCGGTCTCTCGTGTTTAGAAGCAGTGCTAAATATTTGTTCGTAGTCTGGTCTGTCTGTACGACTCATGTTTAGGTACCAAGTCCTCAACATGTTTAGGTGTTCGCAGTCTGGACGGTTTTATCCTTGTTCGCGATTTGGACTGTTCGCAATTAGGACTCAACCTTCAGTTAATAGGGTATGCTTAGAAGCGATGTTTTTGGTTAATGAACTAGATGTAATCCAGAGGTAACTAACTGCAATAACGGACCATGAGGCTATAACTTGTCTTGTTTAAATAAATATTTTTATTTTGTCAAATGAATCGCTAGTGAACATCTATGATTTACGACTGTTTTCGATATTGAGAGCACTTCAATGTTATAAAGTAAGAATGGAAATGTTTACAGTTTGGTGAATTAAACTTGATAAAATAAGGCTAATATTTTAAATTTTTATGTTTACCAGGACACTGTCTAAAGTGTTATTATTGTGAATCCGACTCTGACCCGACGTGTAAGGACCCCTTTGAAACGGCGACTGGAAAATCGAAGGATTGTGTACTGGACACGAATATCACCAAGTTTTTGGGGGAATTGGTCGAAAATTGGGAACCCAAGTGTCAGAAGGTGGTCTACGAAAAAGCAGGTGAGTATTTGGAAATGGCTAAGTACAAAAGCACACATCTGTGCTTAATCTGTGGATTTTACATTTCTGAGTGTAACTTATGTTTATTTACTACTTATGAAATCTATTTCATTCACAATAGTAAAATAAGCTTTGCTTTTTATTAGATCTTCCTAATAAAAAGCTGAAGAAGCAAAGACTGTAAGACGCAGAGCAAAAACAGTTCATTTATAAAATGAATTATTTGTATTTTTCTATCAATTTTTTGTTCTCTCAGAAACAATACAAAATGCATTTTATCTGTTCACTCATTTTGTTCTGCCCCACCGTTGTGTTATTAATTCAACTTTTTTTCAATTTTGTTGTTTTTGTCTATACTATAACAATGCTCACTATAGACCAAGATTTTTAGGGACAAAAATGCGATTTAACCTAACAAATTCGGACTGAGTGGAAATTTCGCACAGTTGTTTAGTAAGCCTAATTGAAGAAAATTTCAAAAATTCCCGATAAATTCTAGCTGTGTTTCCTGTTCTGGTTCTGTATTACCAAAGGTTAGTGAAATATTGTCAAAAAAGTGAAAATTGACCGCCATTTTCCAAGATGGTGGCCGAGGCACAGCCGGGATTCATGGGGACTTTTGACATTTTTCATCCACTTGGCTTATTTAACTACTAGCAGAGTACCCGTCCTTCGTACGGGGTTGGCAAATAAGTATAAAATGCTTATTGCGGTTATACTCGATCTTTGCGTTTGCAATGTGAGAAGACACGGTTTGAGAAAATTGTCTTCATCAAATTCACTGTATGCTATAGGCTAGTATTACACATCTACCATAGCCATAATGTTACCACTTCATCACTTATCTACCACTTCACCTATTGAGAAAGAGGGAACTGCAGAGCCACTGGGGCGGAGCCCGAAATGATTTTTGAGCTAAGAATATGCCTATATGTTAATCGGGAATGTGAACTATCATGATGCCAAATTTCAGCCCAATCCGACCAGTATCTTTCGCGTTCACTTGTCACAAACATACATCCATACATCCAAACTTTCTCATTTATAATATTAGTAGGATTACAGTATTTAATTATTTAACTATTATATAATTATTTAACTATTTAACAACTGTGAAAAGTTTCCATTTAGTCCAAATTTGTTAGGTGAATTTTTCTAATATTCTTTCACTACTAAGCGATCATAAATTAAAGGGGTCATTTTTTATATCTCTGTCTTGTAACACAGCTGTGGATTTGTGGGGCGATATTGAATTGACTTGTGTTAATGAAATCACTTTGTTCCACAGATCAGTCCTTGTTCTACACACGGGCGTGCTCGTTGCCCGACACTACTTGTCAAAAAATAAGAAACATAACAATAATAATGCCTGTGAAATATTGCGATATGTGTGATGGGGACAACTGCAACATTTAACATGTTGTTAAATGTTGGCTACAGTGTTTGTGAACTTGTTTTCAGTGCTGCGGTTTACTTTTGATACTTATTATTGGTCAATTTTTGTGGCTTGCTGAATAAATGTTTCAAGATTTTGTTTTAAGTATTTTGTTTCAAGTATTTTGTTTTGAAATCTGTAGTGTAGCTGTATTGTTCTAGCCCTTGCAGACAAAGTCTATTATTAACTATGCTAGTAGGTTACTATACTCTTTATGATGGAAGCTGTCTACGGGAGGCGAGTGGCCAATTGTTTAATGTCCAGGCTAGCCCAGACAGACATGTTCCATCCTACACACTATAGTGTGGATTTGTATTGGTGTTTCTATATAGCAGACAGTAAACGAAAATACGCCTAAGAACACTTAAAACATATTTACAAGTAAGATGTTAACTCACAAGACGGTAAATATATAAACAAGATGGTAAGTGGTCATCAAGTTTGGACACTCCAATCATCAGACCCAATATATGCGAACGATGTCTGGTCTTTAGTGATTTGTTTGTTGTGTCATCATAGGCTAGAAGCTAAACAGATGCAATATTTGATTGGGATTGTTTTATTGCCAGTTATAGTAGGGTACAGTATCTGGGAAAGCTGTTTATGTATAAATAGAAACCATTTTACAGTTGTATTGACCAAACACAACTTGAAGGAATTTAAAAAAAAATGTTTAGTGAAAAAGCTCGGTGATTTTTATGTAAGAGAATTCGAAATTGAACAAATCAATGAATTGCATGGTAAAAAGAATACATCCCAAATACATCTTATTAAACTTTCACACTTCATTCATAATTCTAATATAAAGTTAATTCAAAAACATGATTTGAAATACCAGTATTGCGGAACTGATTGAGAAGTTACGTATCTTACGTTTAATTCAAACGAGATTATGACGTCATCTAGGATTACGTCATCGCATTGCTCAGCTGGTCTTGCAGCGTCTTCGTCATTGTCGTCTAAAACCAATGCCAATAAATTATTGATGAACAAATCATTATCGAATACATTTTGCATAATATATAAATAGTAGGCTACATCAATTTTCTGCTATGTCTTATATTTTATTAAGAATTATTTTTTAATTAAAACCATGCTAATCCTGTAAGAAAGTATTTAAAAATTACCAGTTGATGACCTTTTACTCAATATATGTTTACGAAACATTACAAGAAGAAGAAGAATTTCGAGAAACTCTGGAAAAATGATGTGAATAATTGTAATTTGATAAAATTACAAATATTTTCTTCTACTTTCTACAATACAAAGTTTAAGAAAATATCTCCTTGAAAAATAAAATCCCTTGTGAAATAAGCCTACTTGTGTTAGTTTGTTTATGATAGTACAAAAGCAATATATTTATTTATTTATATGCATTTATTTATATTTATATATAAAGTAATATTCTATGTAGTTCAATTTTTACTATCTGAACTATCTACCTTACTGGCCTGTTCCCATAACCAATCAGGTGATTTCTACATACAAATCGGGTGATGTGACATATTTTGCAGCTGGAATAAGGTTGTTTATTTTGGTTTGCAGTTAAGGTTTATATGGTTAATTTCATTAAGAATTTTAAAATCTAAACCCAATTTATCATGAATGATGGTGCCTCAGTTCTATTCACGTTTTCTCTATTCTCCTTCTTGATTCCAGGTCAGTTTTCAAAATACATTATTGACTAAACAGTTATTATATCATAAGTACTATATTGTATTGCACACGTTAACACTTAGCCAAAATGCAAAGTTCTTTTAGTTGTGATTTAGGCTCTATTAATGCTACTGTAATTTAAACTGAAACTAAAGCATGAATCGCCTAACGATTTATTGTAAAAAATAATAGATACTCTCTTCTGCAAGCTGTATAATCAAAAGTAAAAATGTCCATGATAACTTTGCTTTTAAGACCACAGGTTTAGTTTGAGCACCCACTAGGTTTTTACATTAGAGCTATCTCTGTCTCAGATGTGTTTAGATTAACTTCCTCGACAGGGGTTTGTGTTTCCTAAAGTCAAAATAATTCTACTTTGCGTGGCTAGAAAGAGGTAAAAAACGTGTACCATATCAATCTAGAGATATGTTTTTATGGAGTATGGAAATCGGATAATGTCAACGATGTTTAGTCATCAAAATACGGCTGCACTTAAGTATCTGTCCTACACTCATTCGAATGAAAAATATCGATAATAGATTATTCGATATATCGATTATTTCATTCAGTTAGGTTAGGTTAACCTACTAACCAAACTTGTATTCATACTAACCAAATCGATATATTCAATCGTAATGAGTGTAGGACAGATACTATGGTGCAGCCCAAAATACTTTTAACAATCTCTTTTACGCTGCGGGAAGTTAAAAGATAGTAGTTTGTATTTGCATACGTTTACAGTTCTACCATAATATATAATGGTTCTAGACCTTTCAATTATTATCTTTTTGTCGTAATATTCATAATTTATTAGAGAACTTAGAATTTAAGTTACGACTCCAACTCAAGTAAAATTATTAGGTAAACCCCCCCCCCTTTTTAAGTACTCTAGGCTAATTATTTGTTGTTATTTAATTGCAAAGACAATTTTGAAATACTAGCTTTTGTTTATTATGTTACATATTAATATATTTTAAAAATTGTATATGTAAGCGTGTATAAAGGTTCATTCTTCAAGCTTCTAAATTATATCCAATGCCCATATCATTCCAAAATAAAACATTCAGCATCTATGTCGCGGTCCAATAGACCAAATACATAAATGCAATTTACGTATTTTGTCGTATATTCGTTATTTTACGCTTTTTATCTTTTTAGTTAAAGATCTAAGATACTTAAACCAGAAGGTAAACTTGCAAAGATAAATGAGACTATTGAATCTATGTCATGGAAGAGACTACTTTGTTGAACCTACAATAAGTGGCCGACGTTTCGGATACGTAGTACAAAGTATCTTCAGGGCAACTACAGTCGTCATAATCTTGTATATTTCAGGACTATGTATCAAATGTCATGCCTGCAACTCCATGGTGGATACCGGCTGTGTCGATCCATATCCTAAAAACTCCACTTACTCGATAGAGTGTCAAAACTCCAACAAGTTTCAACAGATGCCCATAATTCCTAATGACAATGGGACGATACCATTAGCCTGTCAGAAGATTGTATACGATCGTAAGTATCACCTTTGTGGATAGACACTCTTTTCCCATGTTAAATATGTAGCTAGTTTACAAATAAAAAATTTTTAAATTGAACTTCCGACAGAGTGTGTTGGCACAGAGAAGTTACAGAGGAAGTATTCAATGGTACACTGTAGTGTCTAGCACTAGTGCTGGTGTCTAGGCCCACGGAGAAGTTACATGGAAACATCCAATGGTATACTGTGGTGTCTATAACTGGTGCTGGTGTCTAGGCCCACAGAAAAGTTACAGAAAAAGATCCAATGGTGCACTGTGGTGTCTAGCACTAGTCGCTGGTGTCTAGGACAAAATATATTTTCACCGTCCCCCTCGCTCTCGTGTCCTACAACGCTCACGGGGGAGGAAGACCCTTAGGAATTTCCGCACTGTGCTTGCCACACGGCCTCTTACTTGCTCACCACATTTACATTTCCTACATATACCAGAGCTGAAAGCTCACAGTCGTTCCATATGCAAGTTTTCTCTGTTCCTTACTTATCTGTTGTGTGGCTAAGTAAACTGCTGATTAATGTTGTTCTTATTCTGGTGTTATATCCAAAGAGATAAATAAAAAATTTAAATTAGAGAAACATTTAAGTCCACTGAAACTTAACAAATATTAAAAAAAAATTATTTTAATGTTCATTTTTACAAGACAAGCGTGTTTACATTAAAAGTCTCCTCGTTCGCTCAACGGTCCTTGATCATTGAGCGTTTTATAAATGGTCCTGAATAATGAAACAGCTGGTCTTAGTCAGTAACAAATCTACACAGATCATCTCACTCCATTCTACACTCATATTTGGGATAAAACACGCACCTAGGAGTCGTCCCCATCTCAATAATTGCTAACTGATCAAGTCAATGCTATTATTCAATAACGTGACAGTTTTCATGGAAATCCTACAGCTATTTCACTAGTCCTTAAACGTTAAACTGTTCTTATTTAGGTAACGTAAATTTAGAAACAATCAAGGAGTGCATTAATCAACAATCTAATTATCTTTCATTTAGTTTCAGGTAGAGTTTTGGTTGTTCGATCCTGTGCATTGACTAACGATGCTTGCGACGCTGTTGAACAAGTTACAAGTGAAAGACTTGTGTTTTGTGGAACTTGTGACAGCGACAACTGTAACACAGGGGCCCGACCGGTCTTTGGAGCCCCAGTGACCCTCTTTGGGGCCCTAGCATTGGTTGAGTCCTGGTTTGTCGGTCTATGATACAAACTACGATTCTTCATATTTTCATCCTGAGGAAAACAATTTCCACTTTGTTAGTTTTGTTTAGATTGTGTAAAATATCAAATTAAACGTTAGATTGCAATCGATGTGTTAATTTAGTGTTTATAATTTTGTTTTATTTAAGATAAGGTCTTACATCATTTTATTTTATTGATTTATTTTATCATACAATTATTATAAATTTTCATTATTTAAGTTTACGGTTTAGTAGTAAAGACATTGCACCATAGACTTACCCAACTCAAACCGAGGGGTGTTTAATCATAGATAAAACATACGTTAGTCTATGGGTTTATCTATGATTGACGACGTGGAACTTCAATTCTAGGGGTTGTTCCAAACCGTTTCAAACTTGATAATAAATTGACTACGTACTTGTAAACCAATTTATACTCAAATAATATGCTTCCTCGATCTGACTGTGGAACTAGAAATTCCATTAACGTGTTTTAGCATAGATAATTAAAACGTACTCCCTTAGTAGATTTCTCATTCATATGGATAAGCTGAAGACAATTTCATTGTTAGTTCCGTCTGGTGCACTGTAGGGGTCGTGTTTTGTTTACAATTTGTTTCTTGTAATTCCACTCATTTAAACCCTCTTTTAACCAGATAAAACTATCTAATCATAAACAATAACTCGTCCCCTAATTATATAACCAAACAGTAAAGCACAAATCATGAAATCAACCCTATATAATAGAAACAAAATTTTGTCGACGCTAGCGATCAGTGTCACCGGACATGAACTTGACACAAAGGAAACAAGCTACAAAATTTACAATGGGATGAGAAGTCTACTGGGTTAGTCTAATGGGTTACTCTATGATAAAATCTACAAGAACACGTTTAATAGACTCGTAACTAAGCATCAAGTAGGAATGAACATGATTTATATGAAACCTTCACTTGGAATATCCAAAGTCTATGTTGAAACGGATTGCCGAATGCAATCATTGAAATACATTAAATCAAATGAACTGAAAAATGCTCAAGTAGATCATAGAATAAGGAACACTCACTAAGGAAGTATGGCTTAACTATTGTAGTTTCATTATTTCGGGGTGTAGGAGGTTAATTTGGCCGTGGGTGTAGCGCCGTGTAGCGCAACGTGGAATAAAGTACACTATATAATAAACTAGGGTTGCTTTCAGAGAGGTGAAAGCCAGTTGAGCGGAACAAACGTGATTTGATATTTGTATAAGTAACTAAATGTAAAAAAGTCAATAGATGTACTAATGCTGGTTTTATTGTTTAAAATTATAATAATTCAGATTTGTTTTTACTACACCTTGTTATTCAGATACCTCTTCCAAAAGTACATTATGGTAGTTTTGACCAGGAAAATATTATCAGTTAATTTGGTGCAACACAAATAAACAACTCGATCTATTACCTATAACCTACACTTTACCTTCCTAATCTAACCTTACTTCAAAACACTTAATGTAGTCACGAATACTCATAAACCCCGACCTACCTTCCCCACATGCCTAAATTAGATCAGTGTTCAATCTGCGTTTTATTAATAAGTGTAATAACTTACTGCACCGTCGATGTAATTCAACATAATATAACCTGTGATGTATTATCGGATTAAAAATCTATTTCGATTCGGTTCAATATATATCGCTTATTAAATCCTGATTTCTAACATTGGCTGTTTCTAATCAGCTGGCAACACAAATAGGTTCATGGTTTAAAAACGTTTAAAAGAAAAGTCTAGAAAGTTCATAAATACCTTATGATTCTCTTGTTTACATTTTTCTTGTAAACAAAAAACTGTCATATGGCTACTTTAGTCCCATAAGCCTAATGTTAAAATTTGGAAATTTTAAGTTCGTTTTAAATTGCATTAGCATTATCTAATTGAAATTTGTTTGTTTATTAACCATCTCACTATTAGTCTAAGCAATCTTGTTAAGTTTAGCTGAAATGTGTTCTGCCGTTATTGAGTGATGTTGCTTTATTTGTTGCATTGAAGTTGATCCCAAAGAGCTACGCTCGCTTCGCTCGCTCCGCTCAACAAGGGTATAGTAATAATGAGGCTTTATGGAATGTATTTGAAGGTGCCAAAACGTCAACAAACTTAATTACTAATTTCACTTTCAAAAAATATTTTTTTAATCAGCTGGCTTGTGTTTGTTTTGTAGAAATGTCAAAAATAACGCTTCGAACATCGGAATAATGGTTGAAGATCGTTAAATGCGTTTCTCTATGACTTAGTGAGTGTATTTAAAAGACAATTCTAAACATTCTGTGAAAATATGATGATAGTAGAAGACTATGTAACATTAAATGAATTTACTTTATTTGGCTCTGTGGTGCGGAATATTGCTAACATATGCAGTTTCACTGCCTAGAAGGAGGTAAGTTTAGCGTATATGGGCTAAAATATGGACTAAACAGATACTATGTTTAGGACAATTTGTAAACATTGACAATCAAATTGATTACTTTTTATTTCTGTGTAGAGATTACTTATTGATGTCCCATTTAAATAATATACCAGGCGTGCTCGTGACGGAAATAAAACATTTTTCATTAACTTCCAAATTTTAAATGATCACTGGTAAAAATAATCGAGTAAAATAATATTATTTATTTGATTAATCTCTTAATTTCTCATAGTCATTTCGCTCAACAGTTTTCCAAAAAGTTCTCCCCGTCACAACGTGTGTAATGAGTTAAACACTACGAAGGTTTACATATTTTTTCCTCAGAAATTGCCTTTCCTAACAACTTGTTCGAGAAACTTTTAGTTGAGTTAAGCTTAACACCACAGCAGGTGAAAATAAACCAATGTAGGGTACCATTACGTTTTCCTCAATTAGGCCTATATGAAAAAGGTGATACACAATCCAAAGATAGAAATAGTTTTTAATTTGTTCAAATCACTCCAATGACTAAGTTAACTTCCTGAACTATAGGAAATGAGGGAAATGTTGTTAAAAAAACAAAAGTGCCTCAGTAAGTGAGTTAGTTATAGTTACAGACGTAGAGACAACAAAACTTCCCCTACAGGGACACACAAATTTATATCATCATCGGTTTTACTCGAATGTGATCGTGTGCTCCATGACATGCAAGTACGTAGCAATCCGATTATGTAGGCTCTCTCTTGTAAATCCTGTAAGTCTTAATTGCATCAATAACCTCTCTACCTTGTGATCCTTTTACCCTAATTGGTTTGATAATGTTTCACATGGGTCATGAACCACACAGATCCAGTACAGGGTTTTTGCGTTCATTTTTACATAATATACATGACGTGAAATGACCTTTGAATATGAATAGAAATAGACGCTTTTTGAGCAATTTATTTGTTTATGACTGACAAATGTTCTTTTTCAGGCATATAAAGTATCCCGTGACAAAAATTCCAAATTCAGACAACGAGCGTGGTCACCCAACAGCCCTTGAGGTCCTGGAAAACACGCTTCTACAAACAAACGTCAGAGCACGTAGATACAACCGTCGACGATGCGGACGCGGAGACCGATCAAACCAGTACTTTGACAAAGAACCGACCCAACCTTTACACCGTGACTTGTCAAGAAAGGGAAGTGCCACAATAACAAGTGATATTGACACCTGTAAAGATTCTTTTGGAGAAGGAAGTCCATTGTGCATGCCAAGAAAGAGGCGGAAAAAGTCTTTTGTGGGGATTCCAGATGTTCATAAAAGGTTGTTTCGATCAGAGTTAGGTGCTGTTAAAAACATTACATTGTCAAACTCTCCCGAAGATTTCTTTGGTGTCTTCAAATCTTCGGTTGATAAAGCATATGCTGCACCACCTTCCAATGTCAATTCTAAATTAAATTCATCATCAGCATTTACTACTCCAGTGTATACAACTACTGGTTCCACTTTCCAAAATGCAACGTCAACAAAGACTACTATAAAGGTCTCAGATGGATCATCGTTTCCACCATCTATGAGCACATTTTCTAAAACTCCTTCAGTTGGGTCTGTAGGGAGAGCAATGAGGGATCAAAATACCCACATACAGCCTCCAGGAAACTTCAGAAACGTTGAATCCCAGCCTCAGCTATTCTATCTGGAGGAAGTTGGTTCAATGCAACGTGATTTTGCAGATACCAAGGGAGTTGAAGAAGAGGATAATGGAGTTTTATCAGAACAAAATACTTCTCCCGAAGAAACTTCAACAGAAACTACAACAATCGAGGTAGAAAAATCGATCCAGTCAACTTTTGCCCCAGAAATCACCTCCGTAGGACAAACGTACAGCAAGAGTCAATGTGAATTGGATACAAAGAAACGCTGTATTTGTTCCTTTTCTTCGGTCGAAGCTGATATTCAGAATATGTTCAACCAGCCTTCACCTGAGTTCACAGAGGAAATAATGGAGGGAATTGTCAGCGTGAAGTGTAGAATTTATACTCCTATGCCATCAGACTTCAACCTTAACACGAACGCTAAACCTAGAGTATTGAAAGGGAAACACACTCCTTTTGCTGTGGACAATCGTCAAGGTGCAAAAGAGGTTACTGAGAGTTCACTAAACGAATACATCATGTACAGCGCTGTTGATGGTTAGTATTTTCTTTATATACATCACTATTACGTTCTAAAGTGTTAATCGAATTAACATTTCGCTTCACACAATATAACAGTTAAGACCTAAAAGACATACAACACGGAAGGAGAGAATGTAAGAGAGAGTTTATAACCAAACACGAGAATGTTAAAAAGGGTGTAAAATTTATATTTACGGTAAATAATTGACTGTAATCCAATAAAATAAGTATTTATATTTCAGACGGCATCACCCGAGTTTTCGTCACATCGGACGTAAAGATACCTTGCTTCCCAAAATCCGACATCCACCTTTCGTCCTCAGACGCCGACCATGTGAAGTACACTTGGACCTTCGGCAAGAAAAAGCAAGCTATCACTCGTAAGTCTTAGGACAAGGATATTATTTGCTTTCAAAAATAGTCCTGACTAATGAAACAGCTGGTCTTAGCCAGTAACAAAGCTACACAAGGCATCACACACCAACACTCATCCTTCACTCTTTGGTTAAAATACGCACATGGCGTCCCCATCTTAAATAAATATGAACTCGCATAACTGATTAATGCAATTGATTTCAGAGGGACGAATAACAGAGGACTCAGACGGCGACGGTTCCTTGACTATAGAAGACGTTGAAGTGACGGATGCGATGAACTATAGCTGTGAGATCGACTATATCCATCCTGACACTGGGGAAAGGACTACTGATGTTTTCACACACAGTCTCTCTGGTGAGATAAGTCCTTGAACTATCTACTGTAAAATTATTTTAATGAATAAACAACTTACATGTTGGAACGTGATATTTTGAAGCCAGGAAACAGTTTTAATTTGTGTTTTCAAATTATGACCGCTAGAATCTTGTTGCGTTCTCAGTTTGATGTTTTTACAACGATCATTAGCTTCGTAACAAACCTTTGACGATTGTTTAAACAAATCTACTTGCGTACAGTATACAATGTTGATCCAGTAGACTGTTTACTTACTGTTTTAGGATGCTTACGTGATCAGTCCAATAGATCAATCACTGAACTGAAACATCACTGAACTGGAATCTATGGTGTGACAGAATTGAAAATACATGTACATGCAAGGGATTCGAAAATTAAATAATGAAACTAGAGGCATCCCTGAAGCTAGAGTATAATAGGTGTTTAATTTTGTAACTGATATTATATAACACGTTCTTAATACCTACTATTTAAATTAGAGTTCCAGAATTTTGAAATTTTACTGCTGTACTGCATGTAGAAAAAGGGGGCTGGGAGTGCCATGTCAGTTATAATTTTGCACTAAATTAACACATTTGTTTGTTTATAAATTACTTAACTAATGACCTTCTCATAAGTACGTCTGTTTCCCTTTCTTAAGAAAGTAATTTTTCACTTTAACCCTGAAAGCAACTTCTCCTCTTAGATTTACGTAGTTTGACATATTTTCTTTTTCCCTAGTGGTGACGTTACCCATCGTCAGCTCCAGAGCAACGGTCCACTACAAGTCTACGGCGTCGTGTGACGAGAGCCTGCTGGAGATGTTCGAGATGTACCTTCCTCAGCAAGTTGAGCGGACCATCTGTCCAGCAGACGACGCACCTCAGCTGTGCAGCGTGTCCATTCACAGCCCTGTGTGTCACATTGAAGCCCAGGACGATGCTCAGGTAATAACGTGCTGTATGATGTGTATTCTGCCCCAAACATTTTCCCATTGGTCCTCCACTGTTTTTGTCCGTAAGGTGCAGCTTCTTCGACTTCTCAATGCGGTCAGTCTACGTCTCTCTTAATATTATAGTCAAATAAACTTGTACAGGGATCTCTACATTTCCGCATATCAGACACTCGGCCCCAGAAGGTGGTCAAAGTCCCACCGGAAATTAAACTGATGTTAAGGATCCACACTCCCCAAGTGCATGCTGCTGGGGCTCCACACGCCTCAAAGTGTGGGGTTCCAGGCCTCCACACACCTTAAATTGTGGGGTTCCGGGCTCAACTCAACACGCCTCAAAAGTGCGTGGTTCCGGGGTAATGAATACAGAACCTTTTAAGGTTTTAAGGTTTATTCATTGGTTCCACACGCCTCAAAGTACGGGGTGCCGGGGCTCCACACGCCTAAAAGTACGGGGTGCCGGGGCTCCACACGCCTAAAAGTACGGGGTGCCGGGGCTCCACTCACCTCAAAGTGTAAGGTTATATTATATTGTTATATATTAATAACAATGGATATACACACACCTCAAAGTGTGCGGTCCCGGGGCTCAACACGCCTTTAAAGTCCGGGGTGCCGGGGCTCAACCACCTCAACACGCCTCAAACTGCGAGGTCCCGGGGCTCAACGTGCCTCAAAGTGTGGTGTGCCGGGCCTCAAAGTAAGGGGGTTCCGGGGCTCAACACGCCTCAAAGTGTGCGGTCCCGGGGCTCAACACGCCTTTAAAGTCCGGGGTGCCGGGGCTCAACCACCTCAACACGCCTCAAACTGCGAGGTCCAGGGGCTCAACGCGCCTCAAAGTGTGGTGTGCCGGGCCTCAAAGTAAGGGGGTTCCGGGGCTCAACACGCCTCAAAGTGTGCGGTCCCGGGGCTCAACACGCCTTTAAAGTCCGGGGTGCCGGGGCTCAACCACCTCAACACGCCTCAAACTGCGAGGTCCAGGGGCTCAACGCGCCTCAAAGTGTGGTGTGCCGGGCCTCAAAGTAAGGGGGTTCCGGGGCTCAACACGCCTCAAAGTCCGTGGTTCTGGGGCTCCACACGCCTCTGATTATTGTGTGCCGGGATTTAACACGGCTCAAGGAGCGGAAGCCAGGGCTTAATATATATCGCAATGAAACAAATTACAATTTTACCTGCAGTCAAGAAGGGGAAAAGTGAGAAAAAGTATGTTGAAAAGGCGGACTAAAAGTCATAGGTGTAGCAAAACATTATAAATGTCCGAAGTTAAAAAAATAAAGTTGTAGTTTAGAACTATAGATTTGAAATAGTTTTTAGCGAATTTCCCATATAGGGAATAAGCTATTACCGTAGTACTCATGGTAAGACCTGGACGCGGGACCGATTTTTTTTTTCGTTTTGAGGTCCCTAGAGGCTAAAAACAGAATCCGTTCAAATTCATATATATATATATATATATATTTATATATTTATATATATATATATGTGTGTGTCCGTTAGCACGATAACTCGAGCAAAAATGATCCGATTTTGATGAAATTTGGTACAAACGTGTAAACCTACGTTTATTTGAACGAGTTCGCGATCCAGCATGATCGGACCATGGGAACGGGGGTTTATGGGGGGTTTTATGGGGTAAAAATTGGTTTTTCCCATTTTTGACCCAAAAAACATAAAATTTAGCAATTTCATTCCAAACCATTTTGTAGAGCTCAAAAAAACAAATAATTTAGTATATTGAAGCGTTATTATGCGCCTAATGGTTACGGAGAAAATTCCAAAAAACTGTAAATTTAAAATTCCCATGTTATTCTTATGGAGAATAAGTAAACTGTTGTAGTTTGCTTGTTTATGAACATATTTTGATCAAATTTGGAAAATGTTTTTATTCCTTACTAACTATTAACATTTTACAAAAAAAAAAAAAAAAAAAAAAACTGTTTTACCCTCCCTGATGCAGCAAACCTAAGTACTTGTTAAACTAATTATATTTAAATAGGAAATAAATGTTATATTTTTAAGTAGACATTTTAGTTTAAATCCAATCAGGCAAATGGAAATTCGCTTAGTCTGCAGGTTTGCTGCGGCGGGGGTATTTTAAGCGTTCACTGTGTTGTTTTAACATATAGCTTACACAAAACTTGTTTACCGTTTAGGCCCTATTTGAACGATGATTGAAAATATATAGGCCTGTATGGTATTACCCAGAGCTTTACTTTATACTAAGTAATAAACCACTAGAGACCCTAAAGCATCTCCAAAATAGTTTAGAACAATAAACCATTCCTAGCTATATGTATTGATAACTCTCAATTAAGTTGAAACCATCCTCAAAACTCACTTGAATATCTGATGAGCTGAATCGATGGACACTCGAAAAGTTGGAAACTTTTTAATATCCCTGGATCGATAGAGAGCTTTGGGGATATTGAAATAATTGTTTCTTTTACGATAGTATTATTTAGTAGCTATTTACTCGCAAAAGACTGGATAAGAAAGTTTAAACATCAAATGACATACCGTCTTAATGCATGCAGCATGCGTGTATTTATTTCATCCAAGATCCTAAAAGCATGAAACAAATAAATAAAACTTGTTTATGTTTAACTTGTTTCACAACGATGAGAATTTCTCGCGTCAATTAATATCACTGAACAACAGATTTTAACTCTAAACCATTACTTAATAGTTTGTTGTATGGCAATGTTGTGAAAAACTTAAGTTCTTAAGAGTAAAGCGAGAGTAGTGTCTACAGATGAAAGTTCCAAATGGTAAAATTTGCTTGTTCCCACATTTATTGTAGTTTATTAAGTGTACGGACTATAATGTTAAACAGATTTTTGGTACCTATTTTCATTGTGGCAAGTTACACGTGTCACAACACTTACCTTGAGAATCTTTAAGGTGTTCCCTTCTTCAATTTTTTTAAGATTTTTTGATTATTTTTAAGGCTACAATCACGCAAGTACTATTTTGCAATGCAAGATTGCGGTGCTTCACAACTCACTCGAGGTTGATGGTTCAATGCTGAGAAAACTCCGTAGCTTTTTGAATGTACACCTTTCCTTGATCATTTGGTTGTGATTAAAATTGTTAAGAAACAGCGTATCATAGTCAGTGACAAAACTACACAGCTCACGCCCTCATCGTTCATTGCATTGCAATTGCAACTTACGTAGCGTTATCTCAGTGATTTGTTGCAGAACTCCATGGAGTTGTCCCTCAACTTCGACGTGTTCATCCACAGACCCGGAGTGAAGGAGTTGGCAAAGTTGAAGGCGAAGCTGTGTGACCCCGACTGTCATCTGTTGATCACATTCAAACTGCTGCAAATCTTCCGGGAGAGCGTGCAAGAAGTGGCTATGGTTCCAAGTATGTCACTTTGAAACTAAGACACAAATTGTAATTTGGTTAATTTGTAATTTGGCTTTTATTAAGGTTAGTTTTGCAGGTTAGCTAAGCAGTGTTAGGTGTAATTTTTATACCTAATAGTTTGTTGTACCTAATACTTCCACTGCTTATCTTGATGTATTTTAGAAGTATATAAAAACAATTGTTTGATCCGTTTGCATTTTGTAAAGTTGATGTATAATCAATGTGCAACATAATTTAAAAAATATAAAACTGAACAACTACGTTTTACAGACTACGTGTACAAACTGAACAACGTACTGAAAACTAGTTTTTTTTTTCACATTTCTGTTATTATTTGATAACAAACTTGTTAATTCATAAGGCTCTACGTTGAAAATAGTAAAATGTGAATTTTCTCTCAACAAATGTACAGTTCATACAATATAAATCCATGATATAGTTTACACTTAAAGAGCAATACCTCATCTACATGTAAAGTTTCATTAAAACCATTTAGAGCTGTACCTGACTTACGTGAACCAATTATACAAGATTTGTTCATTTAAATGGGTTTGGTTTAAGTAGTTTCGCATTTAAGGTTCAAAAGTTCATAAGTGTTGTATACTAGTGTTTTAAACCTTTTCTGTATTTGCTTCTTTTTGAAAATATGCCATTATCCATTATGTATACCGCAAATTGAAACCTCACGCTACTTTGGTAATGTTGTTGCAGTTAGCTTTTAAGGTGGTCAAGCAGAATTTAGGTTTCCAACACTTGCAGGTATTTTAATTACTGACTTTCTTCTGGCATTTATTTTTGTTGTCATTTTTTACGCTCGCGTATTTTGCGTTCGTTTTTTTCTAGCTCCAGGTAAGTTTTGACAGTTCATACAAGAAATGTAGTGTTTATTTGGTTGCAGTAAAGTCCGAGATCCAGGGTGGAGGAGTGTTTACACCACTTCCAAACTCTGTCAAAGTCAAGTACATCTTCGGTTGCATTGGCGGGTACTACTTGGACAACGGCTTTTGTTGTAAGTAAAAGTGCTGTGTTTCCATGAACAGTTTAAAATATAGAGTGTGTTTCATGGAAAGCCATGTATGTAGCATAAAAATAAATGTACCTATCCAAATTAGTTAGGTGCATTTATTTTAAGTTGACAGACACAATAATGTATGCTAACTTATTACTAATCAGACAATTCTAAGAACTTCGATATGTTAACTAATTTTACCTACGACCGTTTTTTAAGGTAGCCGTTTCAGTACAGTTCTTAGAATTGAAAAGTATCCCATAACCGCATTGTTTACTTTCATAACAGCATTGTTTACTTTCATAACAGCATAGTTTTACTCATAACAATACGGTTAACGGACCAATGAGGTTCAAGGATTGAGAGAGGAGAAGTAAAATTGTAATGATTCAAAATTCAACTAATCAGCTGTTCAGGCCAATTTAATTGTTGATTGGTGCAATTAGTGTGTTTTTTTGCATCACTGTCAGTGGCAATGAGAGGTTATAAACGAAAACCTCTTAAATTATAAAAAGTGATTTTTAGTAATTAAAACAATGTCGTAGGTAAAGTAGTGTACGCAGCTCGCGTAAATATTGTTAACGACACTCGTAGAAGTGTTTAAGGCACTCGCCAAGGGTCGTACCTTAAATTTTCTACTCGTGTCGTTAACACTATCTTTACGCAATCGTTGCGTAAACTACTATTACAAGTTAATAATAGTTGAACTGTACGTCGATAACTTGTACTGCAAACGAGATGTGCTGCGCTCAACCGAGAAAACGGCGAACTTCCAGGCTACAATATGTTACAGTACATTTCGTTCAACATTTGTCTAATTTTTCCCCTATAAATCTGTTATGAGGTCCTTTTGGGTCCATGTCAACACATCTTAATACTATGGTGCTTCTAAAATGACCGACGAACGTTTTCTAGCTATCCAACCTATATAAAGGTTCGTCTTAATCGATAAAAAAATCTGAAATACGGGTGAAATAGAAGACGTTTCCTAACACATCTATATATAATGCTATAATTACAAGACATGTAGGCCTAGTATATATTCTGGATGAAATCGCGATCGATTTCGAACAGTCGTCATCAGGTCCAAACAGGAGAAAACATACAAAATGTTCCATTATTGTTCGGGGTGTTACCAAACGAATTAACATTGTTGATTCGTGGAGTTGAACACTTGCTAAATGTCGGTTTATTACATTTTGTGTTTACTCGTGTGGTTGCAGTGGCTTGTCCCGAGGGCACGTATAGTGACGACGGTGCCACCGAGTGTCAGCAATGCCCGCTACACACATACAGTGTCAATGTGGGCACTAGGAGATGCACACCATGTAAGAACCTATGGATGCCCATCTGCAACGAGCATGTAAGTCCTTACTGCACCAACCAACCAAGTCTCACAATTAACCGAGCCACACAATACCCACAACAAAACATTCAACCGTAATATCCAACCAACTACAACAACACAAACAATGGACAACCAAACCAACAATAACAACACAAACAGTGACAACAACCAAACCAACTACAACAACACAAACAATGACAACAACCAAACCAACAACAACAACAACAAACCAACTACAACAACCCAACCAACCACAACTGTCAAAGCAACTACAGTACATCTACCCATCCAACCACAACAACTGCAATAACCCAAGCAACTACAACAACCCAACTAACTACAACAACTCTACCCCCTACAACAACAGATGTTAACTGTAAGAAAGGACCATGAGGTCCTAAGTTCGCCTCAATAAAGAAGCATTTTCATTTCATTTCATTTAAACAACCCAACCAAATACAACAACACAAACAATGACAATAACCAAACCAACGACAACAACACAAACAGTGACAACAACCAAACCAACTACAACATTACAAACAATGACAACAACCAAACCAACAACAACGACAAAAACCAACTACAACAACCCAACCAACCACAACTGTCTAAACAACTACATCTACCCATCCAACCACAACAACTACAATAACCCCACCAACTAAAACCAAAAACACCCAACAAACCACAACAACAAGATACCACATCTACTACTATAATCCCGTGGTAAACTTACCTCAAAATCTATAATCAAACAACCTTAGACCAACAGATGCCCACAAACTTGTATTACTGATACTGATACATATTTCCAAAGACTGTCCCTATTTAAATAAGCTTTTAACTATTAATTTAGCTAAACAATTGATTCTTTGTCGTTTTTATTTAAGTTTGTGTGCAGTTACATAGTAATAAAATACTACACAGTGAACATTATGTATACTATTTCATTGAATATTAAATTAGTTTAAGGACATAAGACTGGTTACGAATAAAAAAATAACTGAAGAACAGCATTTACAGAAATTAACATGTATGCTTATTACAAGCACAGTTGTTAAAGGCCAATTTACACTCGCCAAAAGATTATTAAAAGGCAACCCAACATTGATAGAACTAATAAGGTAAAGCTCAGTGCTGTAACTGATTGTACTGGACAAAGTACAAACAATTACAAAGTATAATATATTCTTGCACAGATTTGGATGAGCTCGGATGAGAATTTGAATGCAAATGCAATATGGAAGATGAGTATTTCCAGATATTCAAGTGCATATGTCTGCATTTTGTAGCCACTGCTTGTACATGATAAAGGTTTTGAAAAGCTGATGTTTAAAATTGTGTGTAAGGTTGCTGATACCGTTTTTAACACTTGTTTGGATGATCCTTTCGGGATGTCGTTGGATGTTCAATATTACTGGCATCGAGTTTTAGGGATGAACAGCATACTGGTTTTTGAGGGTTTTATTTTAGACAGGTATTTATTAAATCTTAGTTTAACACTAATCACATATATATTTTCAGTTTGAAACCGTTAACATAATGATGATTGTGGTCATGGTTGCTGTGGTTATTGTTTTGCTGGGAATATTTATTGTATACTACTTCTTCTGCTACAAAGGACGGAATTGTGAGTATTACAGGACTAAATATGCTTAAGGGAACAAACTAAGGTATAGCCACCATAATATACTGTTAGTAGATTTCGTGTCATATTTCGAAAGTCTGCAGTCTATTTCGACGTGGGTGTCGTGTCTGGTAACATTTGAGTGCGCTGGTGTCTACTAAATGTAATTATTTCATTTCGAGGTATATTTTAAAATGTGTGCTAAGTCATTGGATATCATACCAGAGGAAAATAAATACACAATAGTGTATGAACAGATAATTTTAGGGTTAAAATACTTTTAAAGTTAGATAAATAAGCTCAATATTTAACATAATTACACACCTTAAGAATACCAAAAAGAGAGACAGAATACGGAATGATACATATTGTTGTAGAGGGTCTTCTGCCGATCTGTAATTATTAAGCTACATGTTCTACCCGTGCTTTGCAACGGGAAGAGGACACAAAATAGAAACATTTTAATCTTTACATCTGTTGCATATAATAGTTAGGTACACATCCGCCAACGCTTTTAGAAACAAAATTCAACTTTTATAGCCTTAATAGAAACGTTTAAGTTATGACTTTTAAATCTGGTAAGTAGTGGATACCACCATTTTGGTTTTGATTAATTTTAAATTTTGTGTAGGCTGATATGAGAAAAACTGACCAAATCTTTGAATAAAACTTTGACATACATGATTTACCTTCATCTCCCTTAATAACATATCTTTTAATTTATTATTGACATTTTAAATTTCAATTTGGAAGTTGCAAAAATACTAATTATTAAATTTAAATGAATATTTTTTTTTAATTTCACTCTTCTTTATATTAAATCACAAATTCTTCCATCTTCAGTTTCTTCACTCACAATAAATCATTAGCAAAACTAAGTCAGCTGTTATAAGCTTTAGAAATATTGCTGTGCCTTATCAATACAGTCTTTTGAAATATAAAAGGAACTATATCTAGAGGTACTATAAAAAATGTTAAACAAATAATTTTGCATTAAAGACAGCAGACAAAACTAATATGATTATCAAAGCATCAAGGACTAAAAAATGTAATAGCAAATACAGTATGTTTCATTGCATCTCTGATTTTACTCTACAAAAATATTATAAACATCTTAAACCAGTTCTTTTAATCAGTTCCATCGTACATTTCCTTTACATTTTCACACTTACCATTAAGTAAACATAGTAACAGATATTTCATTAATTTTAGAAACAAAAGAACACTGTGTACTGCTTAGTTTTATGATATTTTCCTTGGTTTAATTTAATCAGTGGTGTGGCAAAACACAAATAACAAAAGTATCAAATAAAGTAAATGTGAACTGAAAGCTATGTTAAGATAAAATAAGAGTATTTTGTATTACCATTTGATAATTAAATATAGTTACACGTATACAACAGATTTAAAAAAACAAAAATCGACTACGTACAATTTAGTTATTGATGATATTCTTTAGTTAAATTAAAGCATAGGTTTAGCAAAACACAATAACTTAATTTACCTAAATATACATATAAAAAACAATGTGATGTGCAAGTTATGTTAAGTTAATCTAAGACATGTTAAGTAGTTAGGATTTATTTAAAGTAGCCTCCAAATGCATACAAAACATCTATACATTGTAATTTTCATACTGTTTCCATGAAAACATATCAATAACATTATTTTCATAACTTAGACGTTTTAAAAAATCCAAAGCAGAGCCGGAGTTGTAGTGGGGCCTTGAGTTGATACAGCAACGGTTACAGAATCAGTTTTTTTTATATAATCATCGACATAGTTTTAGAATAAATAATCCATGATAAAAGGTTAGATTAAAATAAACCTACCTCATAGTTATGGAAAATATTATATTTAATTTCTTTGTATCAGCTGTCTGAAATTGTGATATATGCAGTTTAGCAGTTTATTCTTGTTTACATTTAAATGTCAAAGCAAATGTAAACAAACATTGTTAGTGTTCTCATCCCAGCCATGGAGACCTATCAATATTTACTTTTAAAATGTTCACATCAGAGCTTTTAAAGCCAAAGGGGCAAAGCCTACGGTCAGTATTGAAATGTGAATAGTCCTATAATGGTCCTTGGTATGGTAGGTATATTTTTGTAATATTTAAGCCCGGTTGGTTTAGTAGTTTTTGCACCTATTAGTAACACACATACAGACAGACACCATTAGATTTTTATATAATAGTACAGATGAATGATTATCTGCATTTACTAAGCTGCCGATTGTATTTCTTTCAATGATATTCAGACATCTTCCAAACTATCGTATGTGTTTTTACTAATTTACGTCATCTACCTTTGAGTTTACTAAACGTGAAACTAAAACCACCAAACAAAAATGTTTGTTATATAAGAGCTTCCTTTGTACGCTTGAAATATTTTACCATCTATACGAAAACTCAAGTTACAGTATAACAAAAACACAGTAAAGAAATATGAGTACATAGATAATGAATGTATAATACTGTACTAGATAATTACGTTCATATCCATTAACTCTTATATTTTGCTTACTTTACTTTTTTAATAGCGTTGTTGTTGGTGATGCCCAGGCAGGTTATAAATACATTCGACAAGGAGAGTATGTGAAACATTGTTACACAATTATTGTTTGTGCTTTATTATTTCGGATTTGTAGTGAAAATTCTGCGATAGGCTACATGGTACGAACAGCTGTTTTACAGTCAAAACACAACTTGTTTAATCTCACTGGGCGCTGGTCTCAGTTCGCATGATATCATCTCGAGCCCAGAGTTCACGTTACGCAAAATAACCATGACATCATCTCACCGGCCACCAGACCAAACCTTGAACAGCTTGAATTATTCAGTAGATTACATGTTTTCTCGTAAAATTACTAAAATTGTACTTTTATACGTGTTTGCAGGGCAAGAGGTGTTGAAAAGAGGCCAAAGAGAGAAAATGGCAAAGTCTGAGGTATTATGCTACACATAGTTATTTTAGGACTTAGTGGTAAACATAAATGGTTAGTTCCTATATCTTCTGCTGATCAGAAGCGCTCAGAAAATGTCAATATATTCTATATAATGTAAAGGTATGCTTCAGCGTTTAAATAGCAGCACTTGAAAAATCTCTTCTCAAAGTAAGCCACAATGCAGTTGTCTGCTAGCAATATTGAGCGGAGCTAGCATATTAATCCTGCAATAATCTTAACTGACTACTTGAAGTATCCTAATACAATGGTTCATTTGATTCACACAAATGTAGGGTTACCTCCCGCTATCTCCGCGTCCCGCCATCTCCGTGTACCGCTACCTCCGAATTTCAGAGTGACCCCTACAATCCTCGGTTACTTCCTGCGTTAAGTCTTTCCGTCCAAACCTAACCTAACCTAACTTAACTTAACCTAACCTAACCTAACCTAACCTAACCTGGCCTAACCTAACCTAACCCACGGGTTAAATTTTCATTAAATCTTCCATCCACGGGGCTTTGCAGCCGTGGATGCAATGACAGCTAACAACGCAGGCAGTGACGGGATTATAAGGGTCACTCAAGAATTCGGAGATGGCGGGACAGATTTGGGTTCGGAGATGGCGGAACGCGGAGATAGTGGGAGCACACGAAATGGAGTGCCTAATTGCAGTATCCAAAGTCAATGGTGGTTCGCATAAATGGAATTCCTATTTGCAGTACCTATTCATAGTCTGCATTAATGGTACGTCTAGTTCACATAAATGGAAAGTATTTAAAGTCAATGGTGCATCAGCCTACTTCTAGCTACCCTAATTATTGATTATTTATTTTGTTGGGTATTATGCTCAAGGATATTAATCCAATTGTGCTTCCCTTTTCTCCGAACGGTATTTGTAATGCCCTATTTTAGATGATTCGTTGACTAGCATACGTTGCGACTCTTGTTTACCTTTTTAATGTTATCTCGCAAATAATGTCATGGCAACCAGTTATCCCGTAAGGCCCTCGTTAAATTTCTAAAAGTCTAAATTCACGTAGGGAAAAGCCCTGTGGTCCGATTTGCACCATTTCAGAGTTATACCTTCCCATGGTTGGTTACTATGACTGTGCTAAATTTCTTGCAGATCGCTTCAGCCTTTCAGGAGGAGTTGTATTTGTAAAACAAAAGCAGGAGTGTAGGGCTTCGCTTCGCTCCACTCAACAAACGAAGCTATTTCAATTTCTTAGTACTGACTTTGTGGTTCAGTCAAATATAAATGATGATCATTGAACTTGTGGGTTAATTGGGTTGATAATATTGGGTTCATATTTTTGTGATAATTTTCTTTACCATGCAACCTAACCTTTCCAGAAAAATATTACACAAAATCGTGACCGGGAGCTAGTAAATATTATAGAGATTAAACCTTGAACTTACGAACACCAAGTAAAATTTACTTTCATTAACTCTTCCTTTATTACATGTAAAATTTATTCATTTATCACAATTTCAGAGAATACGGTCAAGAAAAGAAGTCAAGCGTGCAGTAGGAATGAGAGAAGTCGGAGGAAAAAACGTCAAAGTATCGAGGAAAAGTGAACTAAGCGAAGAGGATCTTCAACGTCTTTTGCAATCCTCAGGTAATACAGTAACACCACGGATATTTGAACAGAGAAGGTAGTGGATGATAAACGTAAACAAATTACGTCACTGGTCCGAAATAAAACTAAGTTGGTATTAAAATGGCAATAGCATTAGACAGTCAAAATGTGAAACAAAACCAGGTGTTAGGTTGGTTCACATTCGGGTTGGTGACGTCATTTGTTTATGTTTCATTCATACGGTTTCTGTTTCTATAATATCAATATCCGTGAGAACTACTCATCATCACTGACCCGTCACCGTATCTAAAATCAAGACGTTGTAATGTTGATAGGTTGATTTGGTACCAGCTAGGGGAATCAACTCATTGTTTAATGGCCTTATGTATGTACAATCCCACAATCCCCTAGACAAATATACTAAGTACAATGTACTTAATCCCCTACCCCTAGTGAAAATGGCGGCCAACGTCTCGCAATTCTCTCATTCAGTGCTCCAGTTAGCTCAGTGCTCATCGATCAGACTTTATTTTATACTACAAAGCATTATTTATTTAAAATTGTATGTTTAAGGTGAATCTGCAGACGAATCAGAACCTAGGGAGAGCCTAAAAGAAAAACACGTAAGAATAAAAAAATAAACACAAAGATGTCAAATATCTATAAAATAAACAATCATCAACTGTCTTTGTTGGCGTTTGCATCGAGGAGATATGACGAACCTTATACAGTACAAGAATATTACTGTGTAAAGAAGTACAACGATATTTGTAATGCTGTATGTATGAAATAAAACTAATTAGTAATAGTATACCTGAGTTACTGTTTTGTTTGAGGTATTTTTGTATTATTATTTATTAGCTATACAACAATATTGCACAATATAATAATGTCTATGATCAATAATAACTGCTACAAATTGATACGGTTTAACTATGTTGAAAGCAAGTAAGTGTGGTTTTGTGAGGGTATGACTGATGAGCATGACATGCTGAAACCGTGCTTGACAAGTGATAAGTTATTGTACAAATCACTTTAGTCACGTATTCCATGTATTGTTAAACCTGTATTCAACCTGTATATTTTGTGTTGATAATGCTGTATTAGACGGCAAAATAATATTTGACCCTAGCATGTAAAGTATTAAAGTAAAGCATTAAATTACATGTCGCATCCAATAATTTCAATTTACAATAAATATAATCCAAATTGATATAAAATCACTAAAAAGTTTATTTGGTGAACACATTCATAAAATTTATTTAAAGGTAATTAAAAGTACAAAACTTTATACTAGGATGGAATTTACTGTCATAAAGGAAACATTTACTCTTTTTCCATCACTGTCAACACTACGAGTTTTGTTATTAGCATAGCATTTTCTCTATGTCTAATTAATGTAAAAGACATGAACTAGAAACTATGTAGGCAATTGTTTTGGAAACTGTTTTTGAATTCTTAATAGAGCTGTGATAGATTAAAGTTTTAAGGAATAGTTTTCTCGGACTATAAATAAAATTTCAATATTCAAATGTCAGTGATACAAGCTAAATCTCCTGGGAAATATTATGTACACAGAGGCACAACATGCTTCTTTGTAAAGGTATGCTTTTGTCTGGTACTTATAGAGTTGGTTTTCAAGTTAACTATTTTTTGTTATTCCACAATCTTGAAAATGTTTTTTTATACGTTTTTGAATGAAAAGTGATTAATCGACGTATGCGCACTTCAACATGGCTGGACATCAAATTTACATTTTTACCTGCGTTAAATTTTTCAATTGAATGCGAGAAGATGAGACATGTACTTGCAGTATCATAAATTAATAGCACGGTATGTGATAAAATGTGTTATAGGCCTACACTGGCTACACGATTCTACACTCATGATAAATTCATATAGGTCTAGCACCGTATGTTGTTTCGGTTTTCATGTGTCATAAACAACATTGAGACAACGTAAAGCTGGCTTTGAAGGTCAATATGCAGATAGGCCGTATCTACATTCACGAAACAATATCTGTGTAAATTACGTTTGGAAGCTACATGACACACATAGTGCATACGCTCATCAAGTACAGTTGTATTTATAGATGCATTTATATCTTTATTGTATTTTGTACCATTAGTTAGATTACTCCAGCACTAATAATAATGCTAATCACACTACAAACAGATCGGAACACCCTGTAAACTAGTGCAAACATTTGTTAGAAAATACACTTTACAATCGACTAGAACCGTGAACTTAAACATGACACATAAACATCTTATCCATTGATTAAACATGTTTTCATAGAGATTTATCATTGTTATCAATCAGCTGATGGCATTTGTTTCAATTATAAATTAGGAATGTGTAATTTTGGGAATGTTTGTGATTTTGAATCTTATGTTTTATACCTATACTACTACACCTTCAGCCTGCAGTACCCATATACACCTAGTACACCTATACTATTTACTTGTGAGCTGCTTTCTGATTGTTTGCTAGTTTTCTAGCATCGTTAAAAAGAGCTAAATGCACACTATGGAGAAACTGCGACGCACTCAAGCGTACCCTTACACGAAAGATACATTATAGCAGAGATACCTTCTTCAGACTATAAAATAGGGCGAGAAATCTACTGTATTATTTAAGGTGAACGTTTGAGCTAAAACCATGTTTATTTTTTATTGAAATTATGGTGAAGGGTTATTGTCAGGCGCCCCTTTAAACCCAAAAATATTTATCTCGTTAATGATATGTTTTAAGCTTTTACCTACTATATTCTAATTAGTTCTTTTACACCAGACATATCTTTATCGTATATTTATGTATTTACTGGATTTAGTTGCCCTTTGTCATTGGATTTTTTTTAAATAATGGTCTTGTATAATGAAACAGCTGATCTTAGTAAAAAAACTACACAAATGCATCCCACTTCATTCTTTCATTCCTTCACTCATATTCTGTTTAGAATACGCACCTAGATGGCGTCCCTAGGTATTATAATAATTAATATGATATTATACTATAACCCAAAATGCAATAACCCAAATATGAATGGAAACATTGTGGGATTTTGTAACTATATTTACTGACGAAGATCAGCTGTTTCTTGGACCATTTTCACCATGACCAAGGACATACAGTTAGGTTTAATTTTAAACCATCAAAATGCTTGCAACTTTTCTCAAGAGGTTAAACCAGTTTAAGTTAACCAGTTATTCCATTACAAGTTCCCTGCTAAAATACTAGTGACGGAATATGCAAGCAGTCTACTAACAAATAGGTAGTCATACTAGCCATGAATGGGAGACGTTGGTACATCGGAGAAGAGCACGAGACGGTTTTGAAAGTCCGCTAATTGGAGTAATGAGGTCCACCTACACAACGTCAATTATTCTCAATTAAATGACAAAAACAGCTGATTTGGTGACCATTTGCATGAAGTAGCTTACTGTGAGACTTATACTTCACCATGCTTCATCTAGTGACTGTCGTCCTGCTGGTCCTCTCCGTACACTCAGGTAGGTCTGGTGACAGATGATTTAACAATTAAATGACAAAACAGCTGATTATGAAGAAGTGTGCATAATAATATAGGTTAGGTTTGAATTTAGTTTGTTTTCGGCTTTTTTATCATTGTTTTGAATAGTTTAGATCTTCTTAGTACTTTAAGTAAAAAAATATAAGTTTAATTGTATACTTCGTTTTTTTTTAATATATTAAATTTGCCTGTAAACTTATTTCAATCGTCTAAAATTATTTCTTTTGAAAGCACTATCATATCAAAACATGATTTTTTTTATTCACCATTGAAGATTGAAGTTAAGAATCTATTACCGTTGATCGTATAGCATAATGTATGATTAACACTTACGATAAATACTTTTAACAATTTTCTTTTCAAAAATAAAATATAAATAAGTTTTACCCTGTTAACAAATTTATTTCTCATATTTCTTACATAACACGGACATTTTTGTTCATTCGTTGTTTATTTATACATACCTCAAGAATAAGCGGTTGAACTATCGTCCATTGGAATGACTTCACCTTTCGATCGTGTAGGGAGGAATTCGAGTCGTATTTTATTATTGTGTGTGTTTTGATAAATTTTCTTTTTTTACTACTAAGTTACTTTTTTAACCAATACACTTTTCAATATATCTAACCATAATAATATAAATAATATATATTATAGTAAAAACATTTTTATTCCCATCTAATTATTTAGCAGTATGACTCAATCATTAGAAATAGTACATAGCAAACTCATTTTCATTTGCAGCGTACAATTTAATCATTAAAGTACTTTTACTTTGAGGTGACAAAGGTCAATTGTAATATTCATTACATGAGTGAAGTTGATGTCTATTTATCAAGTCACTGTTCATTGAGAAGTTTATTAGCAAATGTTTTTTAACAAGTGAGGTAAACAAATTGGTCCACTTGTGATCATTCAATAAATATTACTTAATTAATTGACACAACGAAGTGGAGTTAATGGATTACTTTTTCATTTTATTGAATGAGTCTGTTGAAAAATAATTTATAAATAAAAAACTTTTTTAAACAAAACGTTTTTAAACGCCCTAAAAAGTAGAAAATAATTTACAAATAATTTATAAATATGTTGAGAGAGTATAAATACTTGTACGATTTAAAACGAAAAACGTTGGGTGCATGCACTTAATTTATAATAATACATTAGTTCAGTAGGTGATGGTAATTGTAAACTATCTATTCATGCACCCCACGTTTTTCGTTTTAAATCGTACAAGCATTTATACTCTCTCAACATATTTATAAATTATTTGTAAATTATTTTCTACTTTTTAGGGCGTTTAAAAACGTTTTGTTTAAAAAAGTTTTTTATTTATAAATTATTTTATACTTTTTAGTTTTAATGTGTGTGCATGTTAAATCTATTTCAAGCGTCTATATCAGATTAAGACAGAGGCATGTGGGAAATCTAAGGTTTATTTTTAGTTTCTTTGCATATAATTATGTATTAGATTGCATGTATGGCCTACCTACTAACTATAAATATATAAATATATTTGATTTATTGTTTACTTTATAGAATACTAAATAAATAACAAATGACATTATAAACAAACTCCTTTATATCTGCAATCAGATTGTTTATCTTTATTTTGAAATGTTTGTTTGTATAAAGAATCTCTTGGGAGCAGAACCTGTACCTCTTAACCTCTGCTTTTTGAACTGTCAAATTTAAGTATTTACAGCTGACTTAAATTAGTTGATATATTTACATCCTTTCAAAATGCAAACATGAAAAATTTGGAAGCCCATGGGGCGTAGCCCAAGGGAAATATGAAAATTAAATGATATAATATCGCATTGTCATGCATTTGTGAGCTATGTTTCAAATTTCAAGTCTCTCGCTTATCGGTTACATTGTTTAAAATTGATATCAAAATTTGTAGGAAAGCGAGCTAATAAAAACAAGTCCATGGGGCGTAGCCCGAAAGGAAATATGAAAATTAAATGATATAATATTGCAATGTCATCCATTTGTGAGCTATGTTTCAAATTTCAAGTCTCTAGCTCATCGGGAAGTATCAAAATTTGCAAGAAATCGATTTAATAAAAACAAGCCCATGGGGCGTAGCCCAAGGGAAATATGAAAATTAAATTGTAAAATATTGCATTGTCTTCCATTTGTAAGATATGTTTCAAGTTTCAAGTCCCTAGCTCATCGGGAAGTTAGTATAAAATCGGTTGCAAAATTTGTAGCGGACAAGAAA